TTATAATAATTTTATTATTTATTTATTTATTTAAGCTTATTTTAATTACTTAATTATTTAAAAGGTTGCCCTTAATATATTAGCTTATAAGGTATATTTTAGCCTTAATAATTAAAAATAGCGATTTATATTATTTATCTTTATTAATTAATTTAATAGTTATTGCTTATTATTAATTTCCAAGCTATATTTATTTTACTTATTTTTATTAATTAAAATGTATAATTATTATTTTAAGTGATTTAATGCTTATTATAAAGCTTAATTTATTAAAGTTATAAGTATTATAATTAAGGATATTATATTTATTATATATATTAAATATAAGGTTAAATTATATATTTATTATATTAAAATCTTTATATAAGGCCCTTTAATAATTATATATATAATTAATGCATATTTTAAGATATAGTTTTAATAAGATAAGTCTTTCTGCTTAATTAATTTTAATGGCGCCGCTGCTATAATTATAAAGCAAAGAATTTGCTATATCTTTAATATCCTTAAAAATAAGCAAATATTCTTATAAATCCTAGTTAAATATATATTAAATAAACACCTTTTCTTTTATTTTTATTAATCTTTTATTATTAAAGTAGGTATTGCATTATGTAGTTTAGCCGGTTATTTTATAGCAAAGAGTAAATTTAAGGACTTAATAAATATTAGCTGCATATTATTTACTTAATTTTAAGTTATTTTAAAGAGCTTAAATAATAAGTTTAATCTTATCTTTTTTTATTTTATTTATTTTAAAATATAATGCGAGAAAACGCGGTTATAAGATGCATTATAATAATTCCGGGAAAAGTGCGTTGCTTGCTAGTGTGCGTCGTTTATTAGTGCTTAACGTTATAATAATTATGCTTATTATAAAGCTAATTTTATTAAAGTTATAAAAATTATTATTAATAATTTAATATTTAATTATTATATTATAAAGTAGCTTAAATTAATTTTTAATAATTTTTAAATTTTTTTAAAAGGCCTTTAATAATTATAAAAATAATTAAACTTAATTTTAAGGGTAAATTATAAGTTTATAAAGCGTTAGCTTAATATTTATTAATAAGTTTAATATTATATAATATTAATAAAAGGTTAACTATATTTTTTATCTTAAAAAGTTATAAAAGAAATCCTTAAATATTTTACTTAATAATATATTAAATAAACGTTTATTTTTTAATTTAATTAAGTTTATATTTATTAATATATAATTTCTTATAAAATAATTATTGCTTTATCTTATATTATAAGGTTATTTTAAAAATATAAAAAATATTAATAACTTAAGTTATAGGTATAAGTTTTACGTTATTTTTTTGAAAATTTTTAATTATTTATATAGCTAAAAGGATTTTATTTTTTTAATAAAAAATATATTAATAATTATTAATTTTTAATTTATTAAATATTTAAGTAAATAAATTAAAGCGAAATTAATATAAAGAATTAAAATATAATTTATATTAAAATAAGCCCTTTTTATTAAAAGTTAATTACTTTAAACTTAAATATAATTATGCTAACCTTTTTAAATTAATAAAATTAATTAAAAATAAGATTATTAAAGTAATTAGCATTAATTAATGTTAACTTTTATTAAATTAATTATATTAAATAAGTGCTAAGGTTAATAAAAGTTAATTAAAGTTATAAAAATCCGCTATTATTTAATATTTATTATTACTTAGTAAATTACATTATATATAAAATAAATATTTATAATTTTTTAACTTTTATATATTTTTATATTAAAAAGTATAATTTTTTAATAAAACTTTATATAAAAAAATATTTATATTTTCTTTTTAAATTAAATTATATTTATAAATTAATATATTTTTAATAACTTTAATATATAATATAAATAAAATATAAAAATAATACTTTTTAAAATTCTTTTTAAGTTATATTATATAATATATAAAATTTACTTTATATAATTATTATAAGTTATAAATAACTTAAAAAATTTAAAAAATTAATATTTAATTTTATATAAACTATATATGCTTTTATTAATATTAATATTTTGAATATAATGTTTAATATATGTAATTTATACGTATTTTATTTTTAAAATTATAGCTATTAAATTAGTGGAGATAAATATTAGCTTTTTGGTGTGAAAAGTGGCCCGAATTAAGGGGTGGCCCAAATGTGGGCCCTAGACTTACTCACAATTGATGGCGGGCCACATAATGACCAACTCGAAAGTCAATTAGGGGTCAGGAGGGCAAAACATCCTCTCGCTTATCGACACGTGAGATTGCTGTCATTACGGTAGCACTCATGGACTTCCTGGATGCTGGGCAGTTCCCGAGCCAAGGCAGGCCATGCCTACCTATTCGCGGGTGAAACGCCGTCCCGGCGCCTCTATATCGTTCTCCATCAGGTTTTCTTACGCAAGGCTACTCCGTCTTCTGTACAGGATCAGAGATGTCACGCTGTCGCCCGCCTGAATGCAATCTTACGACCCACCGACACGTCAGCCTAGGTTGCTCCTGTGTTTTGATGCTAACCAACCTCACACCGAAGGTCAAAGCCGACGTTGCCGGAGCCAGGGGAACTACTAGCTGGTTCACTGCTCCAAGCAAGCTTCCAAGGTCTGACAGGTTTGTAGAACAGTAACTCGGACATTGCCCCGTTACGGTATAGGATGGCGGCACAACGTACTCCCGTGCGCATTTCTGCTTGCTCGACCCTATTCCTTGATCATGTTAAGTTCATGCTCAGGAAACCTTCGACGGCAAATTTCGCATCAAATTCCCAATGGGAGCATGCGGACCTAGGCCCGAGTGCTGTAGGTTAGCGCTGTTGAAAGTCCTCGCAAATCTGGTGTGGCCCTCCAGACCGCGGTATAGCATCTAGGTCGAGCTACTTGTCAACTATCGATAATCCTAACCTGTGTAATCACGCCGAGCCACCTTGGTCTTTCCCCCTGGTTCAAATTCCCGCGGTCATACAAGCCAGGAGCACTTGAGGTGGTGCAGACCGAAAAGTAGTACAAGGCTAGAGGGGCCATCAGTCACACATGTTCGGTAGTACGGTCTGTCTAGTGGCAGAGTCTCTGCCGTAATGTGTCTCACCGTCTCCATGTCTCCTCCCTTGAGCCAGGCGTTGGTTGTGTGACTTAATCACAGGCTATGGCGACACTTCCTGGCCCAGCACCGAGCTTTTACGCCGGAAGCTAACTTGAAGTAGTACTGGACATCTTTGGGCCAATGGCCGAGTGTCAATAGGGCCGATTGTCGGACTGAAAAGCACAAGGTCAGGCTTAAGCCTCGATTACTTCCAAAACACAAGCGAGATATGCGCCTTTTCAGTTAGTATTGAGTAGATGCCAGCGTCAGAGGATTATAGCATTGTCTTTTCAAGTCAGGTATTGGTCACAGGGTGTCGCAGGCACAATGGTCGTGCACAGCTTGATGTGACAAAAGAGAAGAAACATTTGTCGCCTTGGAGGCACCGTTTCGGCTTCGCTCCTTGTATACCTTCTAAGATGTAAACAAAGTGCATGTTACGCAGGCTACTGATCATTCACTGAGCGACGTCGCACTGCTAGCATAAAATTTGAGATGAGTCGTAAAATAGTTCTACTACCAATTCCGTGGTAAGATTGTAGGAAAGGTCGAGGTTCACCGGCATATGGAACGTGTATGATAATGGCGAGCCTTCCCAGTTCATATAACGTCGCTTCTGCGATACCTAGGGAATTCTTTCAAAAATGTCTGAAACTATTCCTGGTGCCCCTACTTTGGCGCGGTGACATAAATCGGACATTAAAAGACCTGTGGATTCATGAGACTGATCCAGCCACAAGCCGGTTCCAGACTTCAAGACTGATGATCTTGACCGACGAGTGCAACGTAGTGACACCATGTCCTTTATTGTCGTCGATTCAATTAAATTATTTTTGGGCAGCATATAGGATTCCATTTTCGATCAGCATTATCATTATCAAGTCTATTGAAGGTACAGTCCATCCGTCAGCTAGCCAAAGTACAGTACAAAGTTTTGTTCCAGGAGCTAGCGTGAGAGACTCAATACTAGTATTCTACACAGGCATACACTTCATATGATGTATGGACAAATCTCTGAATTAAATTCCTCAGAATACGGTGCAACATCTAACGGGCAGCGTATTCTTGTGTCACAGAAATTTGGGCCATGTCATGCAGGAGCTAGAGGCCTTTGCCGTGCAAGTAACGACAAATTCACAACAGATCTCCCATCCCGGATACTACCCCTGGTCGGACACAAGATTATGAGTTCTGGTCGCTGTGACCGCTCATAGCGCCCTAAATGTTGACAATTTTGGGTAGAGACTGTACGGCTGACCTAATACAGGAGTCCTGGAATGAACGCACTTTTCCCACTGATAGCAGCCAGGTAGCGTCTGAAGCGAACAAGAAGAGCACAGCTGTAATATCAGGTTGGTATCTTATTATCTGAACTCGATGTGTGCCAACACCAAGCGGATCTCAGAATACTTTTCAAATGAGCCTGATGCTCCACATGCGAAAGCACAACATGAGCAGACTCCCTGGTTGGTCTTCGAGCATTTGTATATGCGCTAAAAAAAAAGGCACTTGTGATGTGGCCGTTGGACCATGAACCCACATTGTAGCTCACAATATTTCAAGGGGGCTGGCTACCAGCAGTGAACAGGCCAAACAGCGTGTCCAGAGATGGAGACGGACGTCTTGGACCGTGGTGCTCTGGTTAACTCAGGCGACAGTTCTGAGGACCCGAGATTAGCCGAAGCCTGCCGAATGGAGGCTCTCGGACGGGCATCAGCACTACCAGATTCACTGCACAATCTGGCCTGGATTCTGATAGTGTTCGGCAGACCCCACACCGCCCGGCAGAAAGGCGCGGTGGAGCTCAGACGACAGGCAGCGCGTCATATCTCATCTCAACCACCAGTCCACCTGGCACCCGCAACGTGCCTTCTCACCCGGCTGAGATAAGGTGGCCAAGCACCCGCGATGGCAACAGAACAGTATGACGGCTACAGCCCACAGGTGGCAGACGACTGGCCCAGCGCCGACATGTCGGACCAGTTGCAACATGGTCCCATCTCGAACCCCACCGTCCCAGACCCGGCCGGCGACGACCTCGCCTACAAGCCCAACACCCGCGGCAACAGCTTCAACAACCCACCGCCAAACGGGTGGCTCTACCCTCACAAGAAGGGTATCGGCACAGGATCTAATCTGGAGCCCTTCAAGGCCGAAATCGAGGCCCGCACCCAGCGAGGCGAGAACTGCAAGGCCATCGCCGCCGCACTGAACGCCATGGGTGTCCAGACGAGCGATCGTGCCGTCAGTCGTGTGCGCATCAGATGGGGGATGAGGAAGAGGGTAAGAATCATCCCTTCTGCAAACCGCATCTGTCGGCTCACCAAGTGCTCACTGACAGTCCTCAGGCCCAGCGGAAGGTCAAGACGCCTCCGCCCGACGCCGACACCGTGCGGCTCAGTGCCAAGTCCAAGGTTCAGGCGATGAGGAAGGCCGAGTTGATCCGCATGACAAGAGAGGGCATGTCTCCGGAGGAAATCTACCAGAGCTTGACGTCTCGCGGCATGGAGCTCAAGAAGGGCGTTGCGACGGTGCTGCGTCTGCAGAGTGCCTGGGGTGTTGCGCGCGACGAGAAGCGGTGGCTCGGCAATTTCCGACACCAATGCCACAAAAAGGCAAAGGCACAGCAGGAAGACGCGTTCACGGACATCGCAAAAGAGCTGGGCGTGCAAGATATCAAAGGTTGGGCCCAGGAGAAGATGAAGGAGCAGGCTGCGAGGCAGGCAAGGCATGAGCTGGCGTTGAAGCTCATGGGGGAGCACGCGCCTACAAATCCCGAGCGGAGGAAGTTGCAAAAGCCTCGCAGGGCAAACGGTCCTTTTGTCAAGCAGGCAAAGGCGAACGACGCCGAGGGGGAGTCTGACAGTGGGAGTTCCGAAGATGAGGCAGAATCGGGGTCAGACTTTCCCGGCCCAGTCACAGACTTGAGGTTTGGGTTGCTTGACTCAGCTCGTCAAGGTGACCAAAATCCCGGGAGCGACGGACGTGTGCCGTCGCAGCACGACCTTCATGATGGGGAGCAGCCTTCCAGTTACTCAGCAGCTTCTACTACCAACGATCCATCCAGTCTCGGTGGAGGCGTTGATGCTGGTGGGTATCATGAGTACCCGCCGTTGCACGACCAGCCGGATGATACGATGTACGGCTCCGAAGACGACCAGCACGGCATTGCGAGTGTTGCATCTCGCGTGCCCTCACACATGGTCGACCCCATGCCCCAATCCACGTCTGGCCCGCACTTTCCCATGGCCCAGCCTCCACCGTCTTCAAATGAGATGATGGTCGCGGCTCCTCCACACCCAAATCCTCTTGGATCTTCTATGTCGTCGCAGCCCGCCGAGACGAGGTCGGCACAGACGGCTCCCACAGCCACTGTTGCCATGCTTCCAGGCTACGGAGAGAAATATCCAACACAACTCAACGCGAGTGTTGCATCCGCGTCCAAGCCTGTACCATCAGTCACGTCCGGTCTGGTGCTTCCCCCTGAGGAGGCAGAGGCCAACAAATCAACGCTTAGTACGCTCGACCATTACAATGACGCTGCTCGAGTATACAAGGATTTGTTAGAGGCAAGGAACAACAACAAGCCACTCCCTGGCAGCTTGACCGGCATGCCGCCCTCGGCGAAGGAGGTCGACTCTGCCAAGCACAAGCTCAAGGAGGCCACCCAAGCCATGATGCTCGCATTGGACTAGAGATCTTGAGGGATCATTTGCCCATTGCATTGAGATCACGGCACCCGCAGTGTTGGAGTCACCACGCTCCGGGGAGGAAAAGAAACTCATCGGCGGCGTTTATTATTGCGATGCTGTGACTAACGCATCCGTGCAGAAAATCAGACGTGTCTACGATTACATACTTTTTCAATTTCAAGGGTATTGTTTTATCCCACACCCAACCATGCCTCAAGCCGCGTACAGAAACCACTTCATCCGATCCACGAGCCCCGAATTCCACTCCTTGTGTGCTTGTTGCTTGTGCTGCTTGCTCTTCTCGGTCTTGACGGGTGCGTCCGCGCCATTCTCGCCTGGCTTGGCTCTCCGGCTCCCGATGCCGTCCTTGAGCGCCTTCAGCCTCCCGCCGGACGACGCAGTGTCCTTGTCGGCGGCGGCAGTCCGCTTCTCGTGCTCAGCTGCTGCTGCTGTTGCTGCTGTCCCTTCCTCCTGAGGCGGCACCTCCTTCTTCTCGCGCTGTCTCCTTGCTTTGAGGCCCTCGATGCCGCTGCCGATCCCGCCTTTGATGGACTTGAACCTTCCGCCGGAGGCAGCCGGGTCCTGCTGGGCAGTCGTGGACTGCGGGATCGGCTCAACAGTGGAAGGATCGGCTTCGACGTGGGTCTCAGCGCTGTCCATCGTCTCTGCCTGCGGTCTGTGCGCCTCCTCGGCGGCGGGTACCTCGCTCTGATCAGTTCCCCGTCTTCTAGCTTTCAAGTTCGTGATCCCACTCCCGATGCCCCCCTTCACGTTGCCGAGCCCATCCCGGATGGACTTGAATCTTACTGCCGCCGCGGGCCTCTCAGCGTGGTCGTCGCCATTCCCAGGAACAGCAGCTGCAGCAGCCCCATCAACGTCGCCATCAATGCTCCCCGGCCGTGATTCGGGCTCAGTTCGCGCTGCTTGCTGGACGGGGACCTCGCTCTGCCCGTTCTCGGGCGGGCTGAACTGGTCCACGGCAGGCTCCAGCATCTCGGGCTCCGAGGGCACCAGCCGAACTCCGCTCGGCTGTGACGCTGACGATACAGACTCCCGCTCCTCGGCGACAGTACCAGTGGCGGCGGGAGCAACAGACGAGTTGTTGGCCGTGGCGTGCTCTTCCCGCGCCGCAGCAGCCGCGCCTTCCACGCCGTCGGCGGCCTTGCCCTTGCGGCGCTTGTCGCGCGCCTGCTTGACCTTGGCGGCTGGCAGTGCCACGCAGCCGGCGACAAGGCCCGCTATGGCACCGTGCTTCTTGACGCTGCTCGTGTTGTTGCTGTCATCTACATCGACCACTGGCGCTGTGTCGTTGTCGTTGTCGGTGGCATTCTTCTTTACGTTCTTCCTGGTCTTTCTCCGCTCCTGAAGCACCCTGAGGCGCGCCTTGATCTTGGCAAACCTGGCTTCCTTGTTGACCTTGGTGCGGAGGGCCTTGACCCGCTCCTTCGCCCCTGCGAACTTGCTGGCCTTCTTCTCCTTGGGCGTGGCGTCTTCTGCGGTCGTCGTTGTCCGTTTGTCTTTGCCCTGTCTCCTCTTCTCGAGTCTTTGCTTGACCGCTAGAGGGCCAGCAACTAGGAGACCATGGAGACGCTGTTTCTTTGTCTTACGCGTCTGCGTAGTCGTGTTTCCAGTAACACTCGGGCCTGCGGCATCCGCTTGGCCGTCCGGAGAAGTGGCCATGGTTGCTGCGCCGTCAGCGTCTGCTTTCTTTGCTTTGCGCTCTGCTAGACGTTTCTTGATAGCGTCGCCTCGGGTGCTCAGGCCTTGTTTCACGCTCCCGCTCCGCTCACTCAGACGATGTTTCATAGCGACGCGCCTACCCGTCTTCGCCTGCTGTTGCTGCTGCTCCGTGGCCTCGGCATCACCGTCCGTCTTGGTCTTGCGGTCTCTGATCTTCTTGAAGCCGCTTGCGATGCCCTTGCCGATCAGTATGGGGATGCCTAGGATGAGTATGACTGGGAAGAAAATGACCCCGGCAGCCTTCTGTGCCTTCTCTTTCTTGCTCTGCTTCTCAGCTGGGTCGGTGGTCTCCTCGGTCTGCTTCTTCTTGCTGCGCTTCTCCTTGGCCGCAGCAAAGCGCTGCCTGAGTGCCGCGGCCTTGCCCTTCTTCTCTGATGGCTCCTCCTCAGGCTGGCCTTGCTTCGTCTTGCCCTTGCCTGGCTTCCGGGGTTGGACTCGGGCCACGAGGATGGCGAACCTGCCAGGTTTCTTGTCCCCGCCCAAACGCCCTCCCTTGTACTGCCTGACGTGCTTGCGACACTGCTTCTCCCAGGCCCTGGCTGCCTTTGCGGTGATGGCCGCAAGGTCCTCCTCGATCTCACGGGCTTGCCACTGTTTACAGATTGTCAGCAACGAGTCTTGCAACACGAAAATCTACCCGGCTTCAGGTGGGCATATTAACTCACATTTTCATCTTCCAGTTGCTCGCCTGCGTCAGCGAACGACCTCTTCTCCGGCTCCCACCCGATGCTCGCCAGGACTCCGGCCGCAGTAGGCGCTGCTGTCGGGCTTGGGAAGGCGTGTCCGTTTGCCACGTGGCAACTCTCCTGTACATACCGGGACATGATGTCCATCGCCGGCGAAGGGTAGAATGTCAACTGGAACCGTGAGCCTTTCTTAGCATTGCCGGCGCCTTGCGAGTCGTGTCTAGCGCCGTGAGCTCCGCCGGTGCTGCCAGCAAATAGTCCTCCGCCGGTCTGATCGGCGATGCCCGGCGCTGCTTCCGGAGTCTCTTGGACTGTCTCCTCCTCGAAGTGATCGAGGAAACCTTCCTCTGGGATCTCTCCCAGCTGGTGGCCTGTGAAAGGCTCGCCTTCTGCGTTGACAAGCTCTGCGCCACCAGGGACCTCTTCTTCGGAGTAATGTTCGAGCTCGCCCTCTGTGAATTCGGTGCTGGGCTCGGCAGTCTCAGCTGCGTCCGGGCTGGCTGCGCTTGGGCTACCATCCCTATGCCTCTTGCGTCCTCGCTGGTTGATCTGACTTTTGATGGTGGCCACTGAATTTCGCACTTTGGCGGAATCAAATGACGCTCTGATCCTATCCCTTCGGCTCGCTTGTGGCTGCTCATTCTCTGTCACGCCTACCACGACCTCCTCCTCCTCCTCCGAGCTCTCACTTCTCCGTGGGCCACGGGTGCCATCAATGATCGCTTTTGGGCTGATCTGCAGCGTCTTGGGCTCCGGGCCCATCTTCCTGTTGATGATCTTCACAATCGAACTCGCCTTGTTCGCCGTGATCTGCGCCCGGAACGTCTTGAGGATCTCTTCGGGCGTCTGATCCGCGGACAGCGCCCGCGGGTGTATCATGACCAAATGCGCCACGGTCTCGGGCCGGATGCGGCCAAGGAAGACTGCGCCGTCGTCGTCGCCTTTTCGCTTCTCCGAAGCCCAGATGCACCCTCGGATTGTCGCGCTGTGCAGAGCGCTCAGCGAGACGCGCCTGCCGTTGTGAGCGTTGACCTTGGCCTTGCGAACGTTCTGTTGCCAGACTCGGTGGGCTCTCCTAGCATAAGGCTCCTTTCCTCTTTTTGGCTTGACCAGGTGCGGCGGGGGTGGCGCGTAGAGGAAGTATTTCGCGGGTATGTCTAGAGTTGAGCCCTGGATGGTGGGCTTGGGGAGAGGAACGAGAAATGCGATCACAGTCTCGGTGTCGCGACGATAGCCCACTGCGTTGATCGTGCTTTCTCCGCGATGAGGTACTGGCCTGATGGCTGAGTTATCTCCAGGCGGGGAATTGTTGGCTGAGGCCTGAGCACGCGATGGACCGGCCTCTGTCTCGTCGTCGGCTGCAGCTGCCACTTCCTGGCTCGAAATTACTGGCTGCGAAGCCTCATGATGGTCCTCCTGGGCGTCCGTCATCACATGTGATACCTGTTCAGGAGGATTCAACGTGCTTGCAGGCAGGTTCTCATGTTTTGCAGCATCCTGAGTGGTTTCGTCGTGTGACAAGTCGATACCAGAGTCCCGTTGTCCTTCTGGTACCACGGCCCCCGGCTCGCGCTCCGTCTTGAGGTCCTTCATGGGAGCCGGTCCATTGCCGTCGACAGCTCCCGGGACAGCGCTGCGCGAAGCGATGTGAGTGTCTGTCATGGCCACGGGCGGGTGCGGCTTCGGCTTTGGTGGTGGCCTCTTCTCGGTGGCCTGGGTGAGATGAACAGGCGCAATTGAGTGAAAGCCTAGCATGGTCGCGGATTATATGACAACGCAGGGCGGCAGGGCGGCATCACCAGGAAAGGCCTTCCGGGACTAAGCTTGGTGAGTTGGGCGCTTACACCATCCAACAATGCCAGCGCATGAATCTATTGCGAGCGGAGCAAAGAGAAAAGTTGGTGGATCGGGCAGAGGTTCGCCGTGTCACATGGAAAGATCGGGGTGTGCGCCTGGAGGTTCAGCGCCCGGTTGTTTCACTATGCCCATCCCTTGGTCTTAGCCAACGTAATGCATGAATGTACGTACCACACGCTTGCTAGTCATGCCGACACTTGTCGCCTCGATTTCTATGAAATAGGGCGTGCATGCGCATTCCATAAAGGCAATTTCCTTGCTCCTGCCAGCGGAGGAGGAGACATGGTTGGCGCTAGATTTTATCAACAGCATACGCCGACAGCTCCTCCATGTATATGCTCAACTAGCATCACCAGGTCCTAATTGCTGCTGCAATGGCATTGATGGTGCCACGTGGAGACCCAAGCGACCAGAACAACTGCCAGCCCCTGTCTCCAAGTCCCGACGCTGCAAGACCGGATGAGATGAGTGCAGCCACCTAGCCGACCCTCAAGCGCAGAGGTCGCCATGACGTTGCAGCCTGATGGGGGCCATGGACTGTTTCAACGCACCTCGCCTGGAGATTCAGCACTCGCTGGTGTCAATTGGCTTTCTATGCCGTGTCGGAGTCCCCGAGGTGTGTCCACTTAGAACTTTCCCTCGGAGTACTACTGATTACAATGTATGTCGGTGAGAAATGATCGAGTGTGAGGGAGACTCAATCTAGTCTACGAGAACGATTCGATCTCGCATGCATATGCAGCACATGATTCGATTAGAGGCCTGCCTACAAACCATGTCATCGAAACATCCCGCCAGTCATGTGATACAGCATCATGCCCCTTTTTTTCTTGACTGACCGCAATGTCCAACATGTTCGTTAATACGCCTCTGCCAATGGACAAAGAAAATGAGAGAAAAAGGTTGACTAGAATGGTTGTCACAGCCACACTAATGATCTCTTATCAAAGAGCGACGATGCACCAGGCTGCTTCTCTCGCTATCGGATGTCAAGCCGCTCCGGGAAGGTGAGGCACGTGACCACCCCCTTCTTAACCCACCCGAACCAGCCTCAGTACCTCGTACGCATCCGCACCGGCCCCCTAGCCCGACCGCGGGGAGGCGTCATCTCTCCGCCCTCCTCCTCATAGTCCTCATCCTCGTCGCGAGGCCTCTTCTGTGTTCTCGCTGCAGCCGCAGCAAGTCGGGGCTGTACTGATGTTGCCTCCCCCTTCGCATTCGCTGCCAAGGCGGCCCGTTCCCTCTCGATGTACCAGGCCTCGTTCCCTGATGCCTCACTGCTTTCGTACTGCTCCGACTGACACCCCATTGACTCAGTCTCCTCCGCCGCCGCTTGCAGTGTCTGCAAGTCGTAGTCGGTCAGCGCGTCGACTAGTTCGGCCTTGTCAGCCTTGTCAACCCTGTCGGCGCCGTGCCTCATGCGTATGCCCTTATCCCTGATGGCCTGCCTCAATCTGCCCTCATGGTAGATGCTGTAGTCCCTTTCGAGTTCGAAGTGCTTCCGAAACTTCATCCGGTGCTTGTCAGGATCGATTCTCAACCCCCGCCAGTCGAGCTGTTCCTTCTGGAACTCCCGTTTCAGCTCGTCGAGCGTCCAGAACTCGCACGCCACGATCCTCGGGTCCCTTGGGTCTGTGGGGATCGCTATCGCCTTGTAGATGTCTTCTTCGTCAAGGTCGGCACCATCGCCCGGATCATCAGAACTGCCATCAAGCCCGAAGCTGCCGACAGGGCCGCCAGAAGCCGAAGTCCCCGGGACATTGCTAGGTGGGTCATCGTTGGGAGCCATGGAAATTACCATTAAGTGTCTGCCCAGGCGGTGAGCCCTTTTCTCTGATTCGGGTGTGGCCACTGGCGCGGCCGTACCTTCCGGTACACCAAAGCCCAGGACCGCTCTGCCTAATGCACGAGCCATGGTGTTCTGCTCAAGCAATTCCTCGGCGTTCAACTGAGGATCGTCGAAAGCAAACTCCTCGTCAGCAAGGCTCAACAGCTTGGAACCTATCCTCTGAGCAGAGTCATGGTTGGTACTGGTTCCATGGCCTTTGTCATGGCCGCCTTTGTGGGCAGATTCAGACTGTTGGGTCGTGGCAGAGTGCTTGGTTTTCGTATCGGCGTTATTGTTGTTGGGGGTGGAGAGAGTCGAGGGGCCAGTGTTGGTCGCCACGGTAGACGTCTCTTGCTTTCCACTACCTCCATCGCCAGCGTCGGCTGATTGCTCAGAAGGGGGACGCATATTGTCCAGAATCTCAGCTCTCGCTTCCAGATCGCCTGCCTTTTCAAGCCAATCAATGACTTGAAACGTCGTGGTCTCGTCCAAGTAGGCGCCGAAGTGTTGAAACACCTCCTCGATTGTGTCGTGTTCAAGATCCTTCAGGTTCACGCAGACGAGCTTGAAGAGGGTCAAGGATGCAAAAAACTTGTCAACATCAACCTCGTTGCCAAACAGCAGTTGGATGTTGCGCTCGGGGCCGTGTCGTACGGCATTCATGAGTTCGAGGTAGCGATCCTTTAACAGTGGGTGGTTCCAATAGGCTCTCGCCTCGTCGAAACTTTTGATGCTGTATTTCTGGCCCTTCGGGGAGTTACTGATGCCTGTGACCACAGGAAAAATGAACCACATCCAGTGTTGGGTCTTGCGGCCATTTTGCCTCAGCTCGATCGTTGCAGTGTGAAAGGCTGTAAGACTCATGTTCGTCTTTTCGTTTTGAGCGGTAACGAACCTCTGCAAGTCGTAGGTGTCTTGCGGGGGCGTCACAGCTTTTTTCGCACCACCTGGAGGCTTGGTTGGCTTCGGGGGTCCGACTACTTCTGGAGCACTGCCTGCAGCCCCGGCGTGGCGTTCTCGCACGTACATGAGCAGATGCGGCACGCCGTTGCTTGCTTCATTGACGTTCTCGAAGGTGACGAAGTCCGGGAAGGAATCAGGGGCACCGTGGTATTCAAACTGTGCGAATTCGGTGTTGCTCACGCGCAGAGCGGCCTTGTACATTGCTTGATTCATGATTGGCGGCCCTCCTGTACGAGGGGTTGAATTGATGATTGACTGAAGCTTGTAGATACAGTCGGCTTGGTCCCCCGGTCGTGCTGGATCGTCCCTAAATGCGGACATATCCAGTCGTTCGGGATAGGTGACTGTCGCGTCCGTCACGAATCTGAGTGTGCCTGGAAGGCCGGATTTGTCTATGAAACTGGGCCAAATGAGCAACACCTCTGGGAGATACGCAAACTTGTCGAAGTCGTGGACGGGATCCGTCCTTTTGTTACACTCAGGACAGGTCCTCGGACGGGCCAGTTTCTCCCACATGGCTCCTGAAATTGCCTGCCCCAGACTCATTGACTTCGGCACCTCAGCATTCAAATAATAGCCAGTCGGATTGGCATCCTGGGTGGCTTGCCGTCGCAACACTGCTTGGTCGCACTTGCAGCGCATTGGTGTGTGACGGACGTTAAAGAACTTGAACAGCTGCTTGAATCTGATAGACAGATCGCTACAAGGACATCGGATTAGTGCCCCCGTTCACTGTAATTGGTTGGTTCTCGGTACTCACACGTAGTCGCCGCCAGTCTGGCTCTGCTGCAATTCACCATTCTCGATCCTTTCGAAAAGGTAAGTGATGAAGTTAAGCACGATGGTGTCGGCGGGCCCGAACTTGAATGGTGGTAGCTTGCCCGCTCTTTGGGGGTTGGTTATGCATGCCCAGACGGTTTTCATCAGGCTCTCAACCGAATCCTGCTGCTTGTCTTCTGTCTCTTCTCCTTTTTCCCAGCCGCGAAAGCTTTGAGCCAACCGATGCAGTCCAACGAGGAGAGGATCGTTGAAAGCCTTCTTTTCAACGGCCTCGTCAAGGAAGTTGAGGAAGGGCGAGACGTTGAACAAGGCCATCAGAGTCGTGCCAAAAAAGGTCCCGCGTCCGTCGTTTGGGTACATGGGACAGAGCCTGTCATTTTCGTCAACGCGTTCCCTGACCAAGGAATGGCCAGGGCCCACAGGCGCCGACTCCAAGACCGCTTGAAGAGTGTCGTGGATAGCTGGCCTGGCTGGAGAGATGGGCAGATCATGGCCATCCTCCTCGAGCAGGCCTGGGGCCTGAATCCGCGCGGGGTCTGGTCCGTCTGCCATATCGACTGCTTAAGGATGACCCGGGCACGACGTTCATAGATCTGGATCGACCTGCCGGCGTCGGCAAAATCAGCATACACGCGCTTGAGAACCACGGCACAGGGGCGCTCAAGCTTTCTGTCCTGGTGGTGAGATGTAGTAAAAAGTTTCTTTGTTGAACGCATTCAGGACTGCGGCACTGTTTGCGGCTGTGGCTGCAGCAAGATGCATCCGTGGAAAAGAGAGGGGGGATGGCCGCGTTACTCATTGTTGATTGTGGTTCATAAAGCCTTGTTTATTTGGCGCCTGCACACCTTGGGACTCTGCCTACCGCACGGAAATGGGAGGATGCATTCCTCAATTCTCCTGACTGGTTTCCCGCTTCGGGAATGGTGGCAGAGAACCTGCGTGCCTCCTCCCTAGCTACCTCACAGGATGACAGCCTGGTGATTGGAATTGTGGCTTGGTCTTTGATGTGTTGGGGGTATTGTGACACTGGCTGACTGGTCTTCAAAGCAACAGACAGTCTGAAGTGGCAAATGCTACAAGGGGCACAATGCGATCACGGTATTGTGTAAAGTATTGTGGGGCCACGGAGCAGAGGGCATAGAAGGTGTTGTCACAGCGTTGGCTGCTCTCGTTTGTTCTCTGTACCGGCTTCTTGAGCACCAAACGAGGTAAACCGGAAACCAGGACGTGTTTTCAACAGTCAAACATTGCAGTGCCAGCAGAACCGATAACGATACAGACATGTGCATAATGATCATGAGAACGGATATTCGCACCGATAGAAACGGATAGTACACCGGTACATCACTCAGGCCACAGCTGCAGCTATAATACTCACACGCCTAATTCGCAAGCCTAATTTACAAGCCTAATTTACATGCCTAATTTACATGCCTAATTCATATGCTTAATTTGCATTAGGTATATAGGTGCTGGGTGTATATATTGGGCGTGTGTGAGATAGCTGTATGAGTATTGGGCGTATGGGTGTTAGGCGTGCGTGGGTGTTGATTTAGTGAGTGCTGGCGATGAATCGGTGTACCGTCCATTTCTACCGGTGCAAATATTCGTTCTCATGATTATAAGAGACAGCAGCCGGACAGAACATTATCGTTTGATGTCACCATTCTGAAGGTATTTTGACATGGGTACCCAGAAGTTGCGAATGCGTACTAGTAGTTGAAACCTTCCGTTTGTGTGCATCGTCACTCGTCAGTCCAAGATCAAACACAGATGCTCTGGAGGGGCTTGCAAAAAGTGACCTACAGATGACCGCCTTGTTGGAATGATTTCGTTGGGGCTACATTCATCAAACCATCTTTCGGCACTGCTTTTCCTCACACGATGATCCGTCACATTCATGGACTGTCTGACTTACTTGCCACTTCGTCCAGCCCAACCCGTCCTCTAGGTTGTGCCCCCTGGCCTGGCCAGCTTTATTTAAAAACCTCTGCACTGCGGTCTATTAGTGACTGCTGGCTCCACTTGTTCACAAGACTGAGGGCTTGTATATTCCCGCCACTTGCCGTGCTCTCAGCCAGCAGGAGTTCAAGACAATTCTGCGCTCCTTGAAACGCACTGGGCGCAGTTGTCTGCATGTCTTGACTAAGGTACCTGGGTACGAGCGGGCATCCCCCTGTCTCCGCTAGCACCGGATGCACTTGTCCTGTCCCCGCCATCTTGAGCCCTCCAGTATTGAGTTGAAATACCCGGGACGAGGTCGCGTTAAGGTTGTCCCAATTCCAACCCGTAGCCGCTGGGAGGCGTTCGAACAGGGGCTATAAATAATCTGAATCGACAGACACCGGGGATTTTATTACGCTTCTATCCAGACGCCATCTTGCCATAAATTGAGTGTGTGAACGGAACACGGCCCCTGCCTGCTTACGTATGTCTCGGGGGCTCGCATTCTTGCTTCTGTCCGTGAACCACGGCCGTCCCAATGCCAGAATCTGGTCCTAAGATCCAGACGGTTCACGGCTTGTTTGACATGACAACTCTAATTCCGCGTTTCCAGACATTCGACGAAAATGATCTCATCGGGTCCAATCTGCCCAGGCAATGGACCAAGATCGATGATCCACGGGGCGCAGCGGTACCGACCCTCGAGAGCCGGTCCAAAGTGCCGGAAAGTGGAGGGCCGGCCGCCGTTCTGGGCACGAGGGCTCAAGATTCAGCAAGCTGTTTCGGCTCGCCCAGCCTAAGCCCGATCATGGTCCAAGGCATATGCGCCCGTGTTAGCCCCACACCTCCTCCACCGATAGGGCTGTTTCAGCCCCAAGTACCGCCCGCCCCCTGGACATGTGTGATAGGCGGATGGGCCACATGTGTGCTCACCAGATGGAAAACGCGCCGACATGTGTCTCATCTGAAGTGTCATGCAGTCTTCTCTGAGGGGAGGAGTCGTCGTCGTCGTATTCGTGCTGGAGACGAACACAGACAGGGCCACCTTGGCGGACTCTTCAGCCTCCCCGGCGCTGTACAAAGGCCCTCGTCTTCCCAAATAAGATGTACTAGCTGATCATATTGGGATCGACACCTGGACATCAGATGCATCACTATGGCTGCTCGATGCGCCAACTTCAATTCGCATTTTTTGTTTTATTGATTAATTGCTGACTTTCCTTTGTGTAGCTGCTTAGCCGTGCTGGGCCACGGCGGCGACACTCATTCATCATGGACAAGTTCAGGAAGAAGGGGCAGAACATCAAGCTCTTCTTCAAGACGGACTGGAACATCGTCCGGGCGAGGAGATATGCTCGGCGCGGCGGGAGGGAAATACGATATGGTGCCGGACGCTACCTCGCGAACAAGTTTCCCATCGTTCAGTGGATTGCATCGTACAGTCCAAAGTGGTTGTTTGGTGATGTGCTCTCGGGTGTGACTGTCGGGGTCGTGCTGGCACTTCAAGCCGTGAACCTGCCGTCGTCAGCCGGGGGAGCGATATCAACTCAACAGACACTCATCGCCAGTTGGCTTCCTGGGTTCATCTATGCCTTGACGGGCTCTTCCAAGAGTGAGCGCACTCATGCAACCCATCTAATTACTTGGACTTTGGACTGAGTCTGGATCACTGACTGCGAACTTCCACTGCAGACATCAGCATCGGGCCGACCTCAGCAGGCACATTACTATCTCTTCAAATCATCGGACCCTTCGCCGCAGCAGCCCGGATCCCTCCTTTCGTTATATTGCCAGCGTTGACTTTTTGTGTTGGAATATGGTTCTTGCTGTTCGGCGTGTTGGGGCTCGGCTTTTTGTTCGACTTGATCCCCATTTCCATCAGCCTGGCAGTGGTCACCACCATAGCACTCAACCTCATCATCGTACAAGTCCCCACGTTACTCGGTCTGAATGGAATTCCTCCCATCGTGCCCGCTATCCCGCCGGCGGTGATCCAGAACTTCACCAGCATCAGCCTGAGGACACTTGCGATCAGCATTTCGGCCATTGTTTTCCTGGCAGCTCTACAAATAGTCTCACAGAAATTCGGCAAGAAAAAGACTGCCGCGGGCAGGGCCGCTCGGGTAGGATTTAACATGGGTGGCCTGTTGGTTGTTTTGATCTTCGCCATTGTCAGTTTCCTGTTTCTGCAGAACATCCCCATCGCTCAGCAAGTCGCACCATCCCTCCCCCCGACGATGGGAGGTTCAGCAGCAGCACCAGCATCTGGTCCGGCAGCCACTTCTTTGCCGCCGCAAGCGTCAGTCAACACCACCAGCACCGGGGCGGCGCAGATCATCATCCCGGCCAAGCGGGAAGAGCCTCAGTTTGCCCCTGGAGCCGAGTTCCCTTCTGGAAATATCGGCTCAGGCGTGCAACGTCGAAGTGAACTACTGCCGAATGGCCAGCCCTCCAACGTCTCGGTCGCTGCAGCGTCGACGGCTTCTGCGGCCGGCGCTCCTCCACCACTGCCAAAGCTGCCGTTCTGGGCTGTGTTCCCTGGCTTCCAGGCGTCGATCGTCTCGCCACTGCCGCCAATCACGGACCTCATCAAGGCTCTGTTGCTTCCCAGCCTGCTCGTTTTCATCGTGCTCAACATCGAACACCTTGTCATCGCCGAGACCTTCGGCCACTACCACACTTACACCGTTTCTCAGAACTCCGAAATGTTCGCCGCCGGCCTGTCGAACCTGGCTGGGGCGTTCTTTGGTGGCGTCCCCGTCGGAGGCGGAGATATGGCCAGGTCGTCGCTGCTCGCTGTGACAGGGGCCAAGAGCCCGCTCAACCAGATATTCACAGCTGTTACTGTCCTTGTTGTGATGATGCCACTGAGCGGTGCCCTGAGGTTCCTTCCTCAGGCCGCCCTCTCCGCAATCATCGTGGTCGCGGTGATCGACCAGCAGCCGCCGCAGAAGCTGCTGGGCGATTATTTCCGGCTGTCGTTCGCCGACTTCTTGGCTTTCTTCATGGCTTTCAACATCGCCATCGCCGTCCCGGCCGTCGGAGTTGCAATCGGCACAGCGGTGGGCGTGGGGCTCCTGGTCCTGTACACCCTGTTCAGGGCCATGTTCTCGCGGCCCAAGGCCATATACGCCCCCGATCTCGAGTATATGTTCAAGGAAAGGGAGTTTAGGCCGTGGCAGCAGGGCGACATGATTCCTCTGGGGACCCAAGTGCTGAAGCTGGAGACGGACATGGTGTGGACGAACGCCGACCGTATCAGGAGGCATGTCGTCGATACCTGCATGATAAACAACTCGGGCGTGGCGGTCGACAGCCTCGACAAACCTGAGCGGCCGTGGAACTTCCGGATCCACGCGCACGTGGCGGCGCTGAGACGGAAGCACAACGTCATGGTCGACGACGACGACTCCGAGTCCCTCATCCAGCGCCGCCCTCGCCTGCGCGTTGTGGTCCTGGACATGACCTCGACCTCGTTCATTGATTCATCCGCGATCCTGAATCTGGAGATGATGAAGAGGCAGTTGCGAGAGTGGGCAGGGGAGAGCGTGGAGTTTCGATTCGTGGGGCTGAATGCGCATGTTCTGAAGAGGTTCGAGCGGGCCAAGTGGCAGATAGTGGACCCTTGTGGGCCCAGGGTGGTTGAGGAGGGGGAGGAGTACACGACGAGGGACTTGAGGTTCGATCACCTGCCACACGCCATACACTTCATGAATCCCCAAATGACGTTGAATGGTATGTGGGAGGAGGTTGCGGTTGTTATGGGAGGAGACATCGACAAGATTGACAAGGCTTATGTCTAGGTGCAGCTACAGAAGGCTATGTCTAGAACAAGGCGAATCTGGTTGTTCTGGCGCCGCTCGGTACAAAATTAAGAGGAAGAAAATTGAATAGGTTTCGGTCGATCCAGGAGCAAACAAACTGGGTACAACGTGTAGTTGTAATTATATTGTGGCTGAGAGATCTGTCTAGTCTAGTACTTCGTGCTCAATTTAACGGGACATGTCAGTCAGTGTTTCCTGCAAAAGCGAAGTATTAAGCTTCAGTGAAAGTTGGGCAAAACCAGATTTCATCGGCTGCTCCATCTAATCACAACATTTGATTTCAGAAGCTGGTTCACTGAGGCAGCTCAAACAACTCAGCGTCCATGGTATCTAACAAGCCACCACAACAGAAGATAATCCATGGAACTGTTTATGTGCAAAGTACATACGTCCGCAATCGATACTAGAAATAGCCGTAGGACACATGAGGCGCCGTCCCAAATTCCAAGGCGGAAGGAAAGAAAGAATCACCAGCCGGCAATAGGCTTGAATCGCAGATACATGCCGCCCTCGGGCTTCATCGTGATAACGCCCTGCACACGCGGCTCCTCCTTGGAGTGCAGCTCAATCTCAAACTTGCCAATAACACCCGCGACAGCGCACCTCAGCTCGGCCTTGGCAAAGTCACGGCCTATGCACGCCCTTGGCCCGTGGAGAAAAGTCAGCTCGGCGAAGTTGGTGGACGTGCCGCCCGTCTTGTTGGGCCGCAGCGTGCCGTCGTCGGCCTTGTCGATCCACCGCTCCGGGACGATCATGTGTGGGTTCTCCCAGAAGTTGGAGTGCCTGTTGATGGCGTAGGGGACGAGCAAGAAGTCGGTGCCCCTGGGGACATGGTAGCCCGCCACGGTGGTTTCATTGATGGATTCGCGGACGGTGGCCGGCGCTACGGGATAAAGCCTGAGGGTCTCCTCGCAGACACCATTCAGGTAGGGCATGCCTTCCAGCAGGTCCGACGTGATTGCCGCGTCGTGGGCCGGGATTGCCTCGTGGATCTCGGCCCTGAGCTTCCTCTGGATCTCGGGGTATTTGGCACAGAGGTAACAGGTCCACGTAAGGGCGCTGGCCGTTGTCTCATGCTGGAGCAGGTGCACGATGTCAGTGTGTGTGTGTGTGTGTGTATAACTCGGATGTCTTCCCTCATCTTATGGATTCTGTGAACTCACCCCTGCAGCCAAGAACGTGAGCATCTGGTCGCCAACCTCAGCGTCGGTGAAGTCACCGGTCTGAATAATCCTGGACAAGATATCGTGCTCGGACAGGTCACCGCCCTCTTGCAGCTCAAACTTTTTCTGCTTAATGATGTCTCTGCAGACCCCGCGAAGGAAGGTGCCGATTTCGTTCAGGACTTTGTTCTCCTTGAATGGCAGCACTCGGATGAGCCACTCGGGGATCATGAAATGCATGCCCAAGAAGACGAGACGGCTGAACTCGGGCCGAAGCAGTTCAATGAAAGCGTCTGCCACATCGTTCCGTTCTGCCGTCAACGACTTGAAATCCCGTCCCATTGCGGTAGGGCCGATGATGTCTAGCGTGAGTTTACTGGTTCTCAAGTGTCAGCACGTAGTTGTTGCTCCCTGTCGAATGTTGTGTTGGCCTACCTTGCCCACTCGCTCAGCTCGATGACGCCAAGCCCATCGTCTCCATCGGGATTCTTTGCAACATCCTTCTCCAGCTCTTCTAGCAAGATATCTGTCTTCTCCCACATCAGGTTATACAGCTCTCGTATCCTGCGAACATGGAATGCGGGAGTCAAGATCTTCTTCTGATGCTTGTGCTCGGCCCCCTCGCTCACGATGAGACCCCAGCCGATCGCTCGTGCCAAGAACGCACGCACACCCCATGGCTTCTGGAAGTCGTAGGAGTTGGTGTTCAGGATGTCACGAAGGGCGTCTGGTCCTGCCACCAGGATTGGTGAGAGGCCGATCAACCCAGGCATCTTGAGTAGCTGTGCATCGGGTTCCATCTCCATCCATCGCAAGGCAGACTTTCCGCGTGGGGACTCATAGAGTATCTGGCCACGGTTACGTTCCTATAAGTGAACTAGGTTAGAAACGCACCCAGCTCCAGATTGTAAAATGCCAGAGCAGACTTACTCCTGTGATAGTAGGAACATTCCTGAGCGGGTCTCGGAAGCGTGGATATATGATGAACTTGTCGACGACAAGAGCGACGAAAGATACGGCGATGGAGCTTGCGTACGGTCGAGCTAGTACAAAGTCTGGTGCTATAGGAGGTCGAAAAACCGATAGGAGATAGCCCAACACCGCTCCAAGTGCTAGTAGTTTGAGCAGGAGTAGCTCGAGTGCACGCGCGGGATTCATCTTTCTGCAGTGCTTGACTAGCCTACCATGTGGCAGTTACATGGCGGTCCCCAAGAGACTGTCGAGGGCACGCAGAGACATCTTTATTGAATCGTAGAGCTGAGATGCAGCCAGAAACCGTACGAGCTCGATGCCATCACAAGGTGCCCAGTTGGGGTCAGTGTGCCTCGGCAGATTGCTGAAACATCTGAATGGACGCTGAGGCTGCTGCCCGCCCAGCCCACAGCAAGGAGGACCCTTGACGACGCCAGTCCACAACACAAGCTCGTGCGGAATTACCACATGCGGCCCCAGGAGGGCGGCTATTCATCTGAGCATGAACTCCATCTTGGAGTGCATGTGAAAGTCAACCTCGCGGAATGCCTAAGCGAGGCTTAATGCAGTCTTGGATATATCAAACTGCCAATATCGACCCGAGGCTGCGGCGATGACGCGTATACGGGCAACGTCATTGAAGAAGCAACCGTTGCTGTTATCTTTTGAAATGTCGAAGTTGTCTTGTGATCTCGAATGTCCTTGCGAACCCGAGCTTGTGTCCGTTCGTCTGTACCCAGCCTGGGTGGTAAGCAGAAATAGTCCCACCCCAGCCCAGCTCAAAGGCAGCCGGTACCGCGTGCTACTTACCAGGTAAAGACACGATCCCGATGGAAAATTATTGCTGAATAATCAGTGTCTGTTCATAAAGATGTTTCAAGTTCTCATACAAACCCATGTGGTCAGTCAGACCCTGCTTATGAATATTATGAAAAGGCACACCGGCATGTTGAAACGCAGTTTCCCGCTCGAGTACAACTTTTCCTCTGTTCCATCGGTCCGGGCCGCACTTGTACTCCTGTGGCTGGTGAAAAGGTTCCTGTGCAGTCGCCCCACCCCAACGCTGCTGACAGTGGGGGGGAGCACCCAGCTGCGCCGCTGGACAGTATATACTTAGGCACCCACTTGGGTACTTAAGATCACTTCATGCTGTGCTACTTTCGCTTGTATCCATTCTCATAGTCTCATTCGTTAATTGGACGATTCTTGCTATGATTTTCTCGTTATGCTTGAACAGCAAGGAAGCTCAGCTGAATTGGCTGCATTTACTTGCATAGCACTTCAAGTTGAGACTGGAGCTTCCTTGACAGCTTTGGTTGAGTTAGCAGTTCTGAGATTATGAGAGCACTTTGTGGCTAAGAACACTTAGGTCAATAGGAGGTATAGCAAGGTTGTGGATCGGGCATCGCGAGATCCAGGGAGAGGAACTTGGCGAGGCATCAGGGCAGAAGATGGTGAGAGGGTCGCCGAAAGTGTGTACGTGGGGAAAGTGGCACGAATCGATCAAATAGAAGCCCTATTAAGAGCAATGCGAATTCAGTTGGCGGATACGACCTTTGTCAAGACAGGCGACTATGTTCAAGTGTCATCAGTCGAGTTGCCATTCCGCATCGCAGACGCCGTGAGACGAATCCACAAACAACCAGGAAATGCGTCGACGAACAACACCTCGCCCCGTATAAGTCTTCGAGCACTACAAGATCCCTAAATGCTGCCCCCTGGCGTGCTCAATCCGCGAGGAAGAGGTCGACGGGGCTGGGTCGTCGAGCAATCCGGGACGGCGAGGTCGGACACCCGCAACTAAGCAGCCCGACCCTGCACTGCAAGGTCAAGGTACCTTCCAGTCAAAACTGTCTCAAAGAGGAGAATAAGAGCCACCTCAGTGATTCAGGGCTATGATTAGTATTCACTTCATCGGGGAGGGGGATAGTTGTGACGATCCAAGCTTTGGTAACAGTGCTTGCGTTCGCATCCAGCGTCATCGGCAAAGCCTACAAGAAGGAAATCGAGAGCCTCGAATAGACTTTTTGGAGAGTACATATGATGACCCTGTCTTTTAAAGCCGTCCCATCATCTGCACCGAGGTTCCTGCAGTGATTTTTAAGTCCCTGATAGCAGTACTAGACCACATCCGTCGGAGCCGGAAACAAGCGACAGGTTTGCAGCAAGGGAAAAAAACAACTGATGGTTAAGCCCGAAAAGTCTATCTCGCCCTCGGTCGCTGTCGTCGGCTCGTCTGAGAGGAAGGGGGGGGGGGGGTTGGGGAGAAACCAGTTGGGATGACAGTACCAGAAGGAACGAAGTTTTCAAACACGCCTGCGGGCCGTCGCGACATTTAGTAGTCTGCGGCCATGACCTTGCTATCATTTAACCCTTCGGCGCCGGACGAACCCCACCGAAGGATTACCATACATGCATTCGGAGGAACACAGGCTGGCACATTGTCTCCACACAGGACGCGAATGCTTCGCTAGCCAATTGAGAGAGCTCGGTGGCCGCGGGTTCTTACGTTGCATGTTAGCTCCGAGTTCCTGGCGCAAAATGTGGGAAAGAAACGATCCTTCCCCAATCCTCCTAAGCTCCACGACACAATGTGCTGGGCACAATCGCGTCCGGATGCACAGTGCACATAGAGGATGCAACGGCTGAGAACACGAACAATGCCTGCACCGTCGGTGCGCCGCGGAAACGTGCAGGCACCTACGTACAACTTGAAATGTGTAAGCACGCCTCAAGTGCCCTTACCCAGTGCACATCTAGATCGTCCACAGCGCGTTGTGTAACGTGTACGAGCACTGTGATTTTCCTGCCTCGCCTGCTAAGACTCGGACTCGGGGATGCGCCGCTGTTGGGGCTGTGGTTGGCTGGTCTCGGAGCTTGTTTTCGGCACTACCGCATCGCGGTTCTGCTTGCAGCAAGAAGCATTACCATTTTCCAGCCTACTTAGGATACGTGTACATCTATCCTCTCGTTAGTTCGGGCTAGCCAAGATGTACCTTGGCACTTTCCTTCTGCCTTCCAGACTCGATAACCTCGCTGCTAAGGTCCAGGATCAGACATGCGTCCATCGAGCCACGCATTGGATAGGGTCTCGTCCCTAATAAATAGACTACCACAGCACGTCCTCCCGCTACGGTAGGTTTGCCTTGGAATTTCAGGGATAGGGCCAATGACGGCGCTCATCCTTGTCGTTCCTCTTCTCCTCTTCAAACACTAGACAATAATTTGGCATGGATCGGTCTGAATATTCCGCCGCCACTCCGCTCCACCATGCTGCAACGCAACTTCACGACCGACGTCTTGCCGCCCCGCCTTGATCGTCTGTGCAACTTGATATAAGCTGTACTTGATCCGTGTCTTTTACTCACTCACGATTGATCACCAGGCCCTCCGTCACAAGCTTCAAAGCCGGCATCACTCATTCCTATCGATTGCCTCTGCATCCTGCACAACACACACACACACACACACAAGCAGGCACTCAGTTTCCTCTCTTGAGCCCGCCTCGGCGACCGTGACCATGGCACATCTCTCTGTTGTCGCAGCACTGCTGGTCAGCGTCTCCTATGTCGTCTTTCGAATGCTCAACCACGTTGTCGAATCGCGCAGGAGAAGTGCCAAAGCCCGCGAATTGGGTTGCAAGGAACCGCCGATGGAACGTTTTCGATGGCCATTGGGAATAGACATGGTGAAAGACGCCTTGCGTGCTGAAAAGGCCCAACTGTTCCTAGAATGGATTCAGGAGCGTACTGACGCAATGGGAGTCAATACTTGTAAGCTCGAAGGGCGTACCTGTCGCCTATCTGCCTCCCCGTGCCTCAGTCAGGACCATGTCTGTTCTTGATCCAAGTTGCCTACTTCAATGCTGACTTCCGCTGCCTGGCAGGGAGGTATTCTACACTCGGACAGACCAACGTCGTCACAATGGACCCGAAAAACGTCCAGGCGATCCTGGCAAACAACTTTGGGACCTTTGACCTTGGCCCGCAGAGAGCAGGCATGTTTTGGCCGATGCTTGGAAATGGAATCTTCACGCAGAGCGCGAAGGACTGGAAGCACTCTCGGGAGCTCATGCGGCCGCAGTTCACCCGGGATCAAGTGAGCGACCTGGACCTTGAGGAGCAACACTTGCAAAACATGATGAGCGCGCTGCATGACAGAATACAGCCTGATGGCTGGACGAACCTGGTCGACCTGCAGGTCCTGTTCTTCCGCCTCACGCTCGACTCTGCGACCGAGTTCCTGCTCGGCGAGTCGGCGGACTCGCAGCTGCAGAATATCCCCGGGTACAGCAAGAAGCTCAACTCGGCAGAGGATATCCACAACATCGACTTTGCCTTTCACTTCGACAGGGGCCAAGCCGGACTTGCCACGCGCGTTCACTTTGGGCCGCTGTACTGGATCTACAGCTCGGCCCCGTTCCGTGAGTCGGTCAGGCAGTGCAACATGTTTATGGATCACTACGTCAAGCGCGCTCTCAACAAGGACCTGCGCGAGAAGACCGTCGAGCAGCACGGCAAGCCAAAGTACGTCTTCCTGGACGCCCTGGCGGAGCAGACGCAGGACCCCATCGAGCTGCGCTCGCAGCTGATGCACATCCTACTCGCGGGCCGCGACACCACCGCCTCGATGCTGGGCTGGCTGTTTTTCCTGCTCGCGCGCGACCCAGCACGCTACAAGAAGCTGCGAGACATCGTCATTGAGGAGTTCGGGCCCTTTGCCCGTCCCAAGGAGATCACCTTCGCTCGCCTCAAGGCCTGTCAGTACCTGCAGCAGTGCAACAACGAGACCCTGCGCTTGTACCCTGTAGTGCCCATCAACAGCCGCTGGGCCTACAAGGACACCGTGTTGCCCACGGGCGGCGGGCCCAACGGCACAGACCCGGTCTTTGTGCCCAAGAACTCGGCTGTCGACTACTGTGTCTACGTTACGCAGCGCCGCAAGGACATCTGGGGTCCTGATGCGGACGAGTTCAGGCCGGAGCGGTGGGAGGGCCGCAAGGTCGGCTGGGAGTATCTTCCCTTCAATGGAGGGCCTAGTAAGCAGTTTCCGGATACAATCTTAAACCCCCCTAAGAAAGAAAGCCATCTTCCCCTACTATATTCGAACAAGACTTATTCCTCGGTGCTTTCTTGATGGCTGACTCCTATTGCTGCAGGAATTTGTCTAGGCCAGCAATTCGCCCTGGCCGAGTCGAGCTATGTGACCGTGCGGTTGCTGCAGCGGTTTGATGCAATTGAGAACCTGGAAAGGGACCCCGTGCGCAAGCAAAACCTTACGTTGACGAGCTGCAGCGCGAACGGCGTCAAAGTCAAGATGCACGCGGCCTCTGAGTGATGCTAAGTCTTCTGAGGCTGGCGTTGTGTGCTTTTGACATCCTCAAGTATTCATATAGAGCATTGGCTTAGATCGGCGTTTAGCGGGGGGGTTCATACGGCGTCCATGTATATTGCCCGGAATCAGGGATTGACGGTATAATATTGTCTCTCCCCTCCGAGAGTGGTGGGCCACTGAATGTAGCAATTGATGATGACTTGACTCGGGTCCTCATCAATGAGGCCGCTGCATATCATTCAATGTTCCTACTCTCGTGATACGTAGCGTGATAGCCTAACACGCGTTGTCGGGTATCCTGTGGGAATACGTTTTGCCGCAAACGTATAGAAAAGACCTTGTATGGCCGATAAGAATCCTCCGTTGTGGACCATTACTCGAGACTTCTCCTGACCATGGCGTGATGTCGTGGTGGATACGGATAGGCGGCGTGAAGTTGTGGATCAGTACTTCCCGTCAGATACAGTCCACCACCAGGTCCAACGGATGTCAAGAAAGTCAAAAGACTGTCTTGAAATAATATATAAGACGTTGTCCTTCCAGCGGTACGGAGGGAAACTAACCCGATAGCATTAGCCCATTCCGTTGAGCACTAATTATCACTACGTCACGACTCGCGGACCACACCAGGGTGATTTCAACAAAGCGAAGATCTGTCCAGGACATGGAAGGCTGGACACATCTCCAGTCCAAAGCACGAAAAGTAAACTCCGACCTCTTGCAACCACAACGCTCTCGAAAAAAAGTGTTTACAACAACTTCGTCACGATGCCCCTGCCCGAATTCCTAACAAACACACCCCTTCACCCATCTTTTGATCGGGACATCCGGGACACGCACCTGATCTACGACTATGACGCACAGGATGCGGACGGCAACCCGGAAAAGTGGCGGTACGAGATGTGGTTCTTCTCCGAGGACAAGATCAACTATGCCATCCACGGCGGGCCCATGGCCGGCAGGATAAACTACCAGACGTGCCAATATCAGTGCATCCGCCCAGGCGAGCTTTGGCAATGCTCATGGCTGGAGTAGGTATCTCCTGGCTCTTCTCATCCATACTATGCTCCCGTGGAGACGTCACTGCCCTCAAGACCATGTCAAAGCTGACCCGTGAGCGTGCTGGCAGGGAAACCGGGACGGTGTGCTCTCTGGTGTACGACATCCCGAACAGGAAGATTTCGACTCTGATTTCTTTCTCAAAAGGTCACTGGGAGCATCCTCAGGAGGCGCACGGCGACAAAAGGAAGCCGGAGGACTTTGAGCGCTGGAGGGGTCTTGCGAAGCTGGGCCACCAATCAGAGAGGTTCATGTTGTCTGAGCAGGCAGACATCAAGGAGGCTTTCAAGGGTGCAGGAGACCTGATACCTATTGAGCGGGACGTTATAACGATATGAGTTGGGATGCGGCACACAAGCCTTGTGGCCATCGTGCATGGACTTCCGGCCTAGGCACTACTAGCTTCGCGATTCGAGACAATTTTCCAAGCCTGGGCTAGCCAGATTCGCTCCCTGAGAGTCGTCCTTGCAACTGGGACAGTTTCCTGTGGGATAGTCTACCCAGGAGATAATCTACCATGGGATGGTCTACCATGGGATAATCTCCTGTTGGCTACCCCATGAAAAATAACATCTGGTAGTATGCCCTCATATAATATACCTAGGTCGTACTCAACAGGACAATGTGAAAGCAAGCTTCTCCAACTGTGTGTGTAAGAATTGTAGTTGCACGTTGGGCAGGTAGCTTGCTATGTAGCTAATGAGTAGTACAGTATGTCCTCCAGCATGTGAATGTTAGCGAGCCAATGTTTAGCCACCGTAGAAGTGCGATGTTACGCAAAAGGTAAACGTATACATAAGGGGCCAAATCAGCGGCACTAATTGTACAGCTTTACACAGTCAGCTCGCAGTAAGGCACTCCTGGCTACTTAAGGTGAGAAGCTTATATATCGAACATTTCATGGCCACTTTACCTGTATGTCCCTGGTGCGAGCTTGAACCCTATAACACACATACTTACAGTCGGGGGCTCCTTGCCGTCTCACAGGACCGGGACCTTCCGATTGGAAACCATAAAGACCAGGTGCCGCACAAGAAGGATTACCGTGGAATGGTTTTGACTACAGACACCTTAACAATAACATGCCCTTCTAGCCCTGCCATGATTGTTATCAATTCCATGCTGCCGTGAACATTTCTACTTTACTGACAGATTGACTTCATGGAGAGCCGCATCCGTCGGGAAATAAGCTAGCTTTCACGGTAGCCCAAAGGGCTGGACCGAGGCTGATTCAGAAATAACGCGCTGCCGGTTGCAAGGTAACCCCAGCGGATCAAGAAACTGGACGGCGTCGCGGTACAAGTTCTTCTACATTTGCACCATCTCCATGTTCTTCTACTATTGGTTCCCCGGCTACCTGTTCACGGCGTTGAGCACGTTCAACTGGATGACCTGGATCGCGCCCCAGAGCATCACCCTGGCCATCCTGACTGGGTCGAGCCTCGGGCTGGGGCTGTTGAACCCCATCACCACCTTCGATTGGAACGTTGCAACCTCGTCTTATGCAGCCCTGGCCCAGCCCTTCTTTTCCACCTGCACCATGTACATCAGTGCCATCCTGGGCGGCTTCATTATCCTCGGAATCTACTATACTAATATGTACAACACTGCTTACCTGCCTATCAACTCGTCGTCGGCTTTCACCAACAACGGCACCGCATACAAGGTCCAGGAGGTCATCACCAACAACAGGCTCGACCACGAGAAGTATCAGCAGTACTCGCCGCCATTTTACACCGCCGGCTACATCCTCACCGTCGGCGCAAACTTTGCCTTCTACCCGGTCTACTTCCTTTATATCACTTTCAACCAGTGGAAGACTGTCTCCAATGCGTACAAGGACTTTTGGGCCGGGATACGTCACGGCAAGGGCAACTACGAGGGTGCTGTGGACATCCACAGCCGGTGAGTGCTAAGACAAGCTTCATTCTCCTTGTTGGAGGGCGGGGGGGGGGGGGGGCGGTGTTGGTAAAGCAGCAGAGAGTTTTCCATCCGCCATATTCCTATTATTGCTGTATCAGCAGTAGACTGGCCGATCCGCTGACAGAATCCAGGCTGATGGCGCGCTACCCCGAGGTCCCCGACTGGTGGTTCCTGCTCATTCTCGTGCTGGCAATTGTGCTGTCCGTCGTCTTCCTCGAGATCTACGACCTCGCCACACCTGTGTGGCTGACTTTCCTCGTGATCGGAATCAACCTGATCTTCGCCGTGCCTTTGTCTTTCCTCTCAGCAACCACAGGCACGAATCTCGGGCTTGGCTCGCTCATTCAAGTTATCACCGGGTTCTTGCCGGGCAACTACAACGCCTACCTTTATGCGCAGACGCTTGGTTCGTGGGCACTGGCTGGTTATGGGTGGGTGGTCTCGTTTTTAATCTGTACACATATGCTTCTTAAGCAATTGCTAACTGGCTGGTTATAGAGACAATTATGTGCAGGTTTGTTCCTCTTCCTGGGCTTCCTCTCCCCTTCTGTCTCACTTCGATGCCCTGGAGTTCGCCTCTGGCCGTCTACTGGCTTTATCTTTTGACAGACACATACTTCAACACATGTTACTGACCAAAAGGATCATGCAAACAGGACCAAAAGATGGCCCACTACTGCAAGATCCCCCCGCGCGCTGTATTTCGCAGCCAGATCGGCACCATTATCATCACCTGCTTCGTGGCGGTGGGCACGCAGGACTTCATCATGAACCACGTCGAGGGCATCTGCACGCCCTCACAGCCTCAAAAGTTCACGTGCGCCAACGATGGTGCCCCAATGTACGCGAACAGCTTGATGTGGGGAGTCCTGGGGTCCAACATCATGTTTAATTCCATGTACCCGCTCTTCAAGTGGTGCTTCCTCATCGGACTGGCCATCCCGGTGGTCTTCCTGGTCCCGCAGTACTACGGCCCCATCTACCTGCCTGGCGTCAAGGAGCGGCTGAGGGCCAAGCTCAGGCCGCGGACGTTCGAGCTGCTGGACCGCTCCTTGTTCCCATTTGTGGCGTCTCTGTTGTGGTTGAACCCTATCCTCATCATCCAGGGGATCCAGCACTGGGCGCCGTCGAACCTGTCGTACAAGACTCCGGGCATGATCCTGTATGCGTTGTCATTGCCACCCCTGGTTACTTGAGATGGGCTAACAATGCTATCTAGGTCGTTCATCTTCATGTACTGGCTGCCACGGCGCCACCTGGCATGGTGGGAAAAGTACAACTACGTTCTGTCGGCCGCGCTAACAGCCGGTGTTGCCATCAGCGCGCTGGCCATGTTCTTTGCCGTATCCTACCTTCCAGTCAGCCTCAAGTGGTGGGGAAATACGGTCAGCTCGTCGGGAGTTGATGGCAGCAGTGTCGGTATATTGCCCATACCAGAGCGAGGATACTTTGGCCCGGAGAAGGGTCATTTCCCGTCTTAAGTCATAACGATGCAATGAGAGTCAAGGCGCAAGGCTTCTCGTAGACGAGGGCGGAAGGGAGGAGTTGAGCAGATGGAATGTGATGTGAACGTGATTGGGGGTATCTCGGTATCTCTAATTGTGACGCACTCAACACAGAACATTGCGTCCGACAAAACGTCTCAATGCAAAACCCGTCTCTATCAGCTTCCTAAGAACCATGGCGCCGTCGCGCCAGTCTTGCCGGTTGGCACACTTTAGTGAAGCAGTACTCGCCAACGTTACCTGGGTATCATGGGTGAAAGTCCCCTTCCAAGGCTGCCTGGTCAGCGCTCTTCCAACGAGCACGCCGGCCACTCCCTGCCCACAAGCCCTGGTCGTTATTTTGTGTGTCTGACAAAGTAAGCACCCGCTATCCACCCGCCCCTTGACTTAGCACTTGGTGGCGGGCCCTTTCCAGGCATTCCTCTTGCCAGACTTGGACACGACGATGGGTCGGGTGCGCGGTTGCAGCGGGGTGTACCAAGGGAGCTCTGCCTCCTCTTTCTCGTTCCCCTTGTCCTTGGGCTCCGTTCCTCTCTTCTTCCTAGGATTCCTCCGGTTGGGGCCCATTCTGTGCTGCACACTGGCGCTCGGCGTCCCCTCTGCCTCGTGTTCGCCGCCCTCTGTATTTTGAACAACCACACCATCGGCCAGGCTTGCCCTACCCAGACAGACAGGGCATTTACGTCCCTCGAACCTCGAACCCTCGTCCAGCTGTGCTCTCGACATACCGCATTCCGAACAGTGAAATCCGCAAAGAAACCTATAGCAGCCCCCAACGCGACATTCAACCTTCCACGTGCAGTCCTGGCCCAGGTGCGCGCCGCCACAGCGACAACGCTTCAGCTTACACTGCGAGCCGCTGTGTCCCTTGATCCCGCACATGCAACAACGGGACTTACAAGTCATGGCATTCTTGTGCTTGAAGTGGCCCGCTGGATGTATATTGCCACAACCCCGCGAGCAGAGAACAGCACACTTCGCTGCGATGTGATACTGCGGGAAGGGCCCGCATTTACAACGGTTTTGCTCCGCCACGGGACAATCTGTCGCTATGTGGAGGTTCCCATATTCTTGGCCTAGGATTCTGGTGGATAGCCTGAGTTGGGAGAGGCTCAGTGCATTGACAATGCAGCTACTGTCAGGGCTCGGTGCGCCGCAGAACCCGCATGGCTCTGGACAAGTCAGGTGCCGCGCCGCGCAGTTTTGGCATGGACGCTCGCCAGATTTGTACCCGTCTGCCTCGTCCAAGACCCTGCGAAGCATTCTGTCGAGCTGCGCCCACTCGGCCTTTTCGACATCCATGCCGTAGAGGAGAATGGTGTGTTGTACGCATTCACTGAGGGCATGCAGGCGTGTTGAGTATTCGTGGGTTAACGGTGCCTGCCAAGAGCCGCGTTGGTCCTCGTCATGTGCCTCTTTCTGGCGCCTCCCTTGTTCGTATGCCTGTCTGGGCCGGGTCTTCCAGTCAAACATCTCGGCGATCCGCGTCCTGCTGAGGCTCCGCCGTCGGCTGCGTTGGTACATTGTGCCGAGCTTCATCTGCGGAAATATCAAAGTGCCCCTCAGGCGGTTGAGCGACCGCGGAAGGCGGGCGGAGGTGAACATGCCATGCGGTGGCTCGCTCGTTGAACGTCGACGTGAGCGCCTAGCTGACCTGCCCCTCTCGACGACGCCATCGCCGCACGCGGCTGTTGACCAGACCGCGCTCCGCTGCGGTCCCCGTCCGGTCATTCCACTGGAGAAGTCAACTGGGGGCGATGATTCCATGGCCTGCAGCCACTGCTTCTTGGACCGCGAGCCGCATGACGGAACATGTAAGACCCGTCTGGGCGCCGGTCCCTCAGGCCAGGGGAATACCATGTCCATTATGCGGTCCCGGAAGCTTTCATGGTGGAGAAGCAGGATGTCCTTCGCTATATCCGTGCTACTCGCCAGGTACTGCACCCTCGCCGCTTTGGAAGACAGCACTCGTAGTCGCAGCTGGGGGAGGGACGCGCCCCCGTCGTGCAAGGGCGGCAGACGTGTTTCTCGCATCTTTTTTCGGATGTCTGCCAGGCGCTGAGTATCTTCCTTGTACCACTTCTTTCCATCCCCGGCAAATTCTGTGGCATCATGCCTTTTGCGCCTCTGGGCCATTGCAGCATGAGTGTGCTCGGCGCGCGAGCCGGTGGGCAAGGTGTTGTACGAGGACAGGCTGGGTGGCTGGATTGTCTGCAGCCACAACCTCAAGCAGGCGTCGTCTGTCTCGAGATAATGTCTCCTCACCAGGTCCTCTATCTCTTCTCCAACGGTCACGCGGACCCTTCCCTGCTCTTCCGCTGGAACGTGCCATGTTTTGGGCGGGGCGCCAGCTTGTAAGAGTCCGGTAGAAGATAGCACTTTGGCGTGCGCAGAGGGATAGGAAGGCTCGAAGTGGTCGTCGGCGACGCTACAGGTGGTCAGCATCTTCCGCAGCAGCTCGAGATCCCTGGCAAGAGATTTGTCGTGGCGCTTGATGGGGCCAAAGTTGTGGAGGCCGTTCTCGTGGCTGCGGTGGATATCGTAGGCCTGGGCGAGGCCCTTGCTGCCTGGGAACAGGAGCTTGGACATGACACGGTGGACGAGGATGTCGCGGGCAACGAGGCGGTGCTCGTAATTGTCGAAGGGGAGGTCGATGTCAAGAGGGTAGTGCCGGGCATTTGACAGCTGCTTGTCGTCGGGTGTTTCGCTGGATGGAGCCATCTTGAAGCTCGGGAAGGCCGTGCTCGAGCTGTCTGGGTGGTGACAAGAGGTGACGGGGACGTAGATGGGAGGATGCTCGTCGATGCGGTCGAGAGGTGGGCTAGCCCAAAGGGCAGTGAGAGATGCGGCAGGCCACAATGGCGTGGCGTGTTGTTGACGCGACAGAGCTCGACGCTTGGCTCTCCCCACGCCGTCGTCCGCCCGGTCGGTCCTCGACCTCATAGCCTTGCCCACAAGTGCACAGAGCACCCGGTCGGCCCGTCTGCAGGGCTGATGAACTGAATCTGTAGTGGGTGCAAATGGCAGTACAAGTGGTGCGAGTTGCAACGTGAAGATTGACATCACTACTAGCACATTACACTAGTGGATTGGCTGCGAGTGGATCGAGGGGGGGGGGGGCGGGGATGGTGGGGGCGGGCCAGCCACAGCAGCATCCTTGCAATACAGGCGTACCCATGCCTGAGATTCCCCCATTGGTCTGCAACGCTCGGAGGTTGTGCGTGGACCATGTACTGTGCAAGTCACTATGACAGCGAGAACGATGCAGGAACGCACAGCCACGAATATTGGCTGAACAACATAAGCACATCGGTGCAGGTTTGGGAAACACACTGTAAGAAGAGCAAGGCCAGAGCCAGAGCACTCATTCGCGTGGGCCCAGGGCGCAAAATAATTGGCGCTTCATGGCCCTCCGTTGACGCAGCGGGCAAGATCCCCAAGACTCCGGGATAGGGCTCACTGACCAGAACGACCTCGATGAAAATAGCATACAAGTCGTCATGATACCTGCTTGGGTTGACCATGCCGACGACGGCGTCTTCTTCCGTCCGTCCTCCTGGGGGTTCCTCCTAGGCCACAGGTCTGCAACAACCCGCCGTCTTCTCCTTGCCAAGAAATTGCAGGTTTGTCAAGGGGATCTCCACATTGAACCACGCGTCACTCTACTTGTCGCGATATCGATGCTAATGACCTCTATTGTAGTGCTCGCGCCCTAATAAACGACAAATTATTCTCAACAAATCATATCGGAATAACTATCTTCAATGAACCACATGTCCGAAGTCGACTTGCGCGCTCCTGCTGCAGCGTTCACTGCATGGGTGAACCCGAATATCCAAGGCCTGAGGTTGTAAGATTTTGGACTTGGTAATTTCGGGCTCCTGATCTGATCGAGTCCTTCAATTTGGGTCAGAGCGGAGAAACCATCCCAGTATGAAGAGACAAGCCATGAAATCACCTGGCGTTCGAACGATCGGCCCCGACGATTCATGGATACTCGACTGGCTAGCATGTCTACTCAATTCACAACATGTCGAGTTGTGAGGGCTCACACGGAACTTGTGAACAAATCAGTCTAGATCGTACCGGAACAACTTTAGCAGAGAGACAGCCACCATGGTGTTCAATATTCATTCCGCAATCAACTCTCCGCATTTTCAATCGCTGCGTGCCTGAAGCCCACACGACGGTTTCTAAGCAGCGCAGAAAGTATTCTCAAGGGCCTGAGTTGCAACCTTGAGCATGAAACTGGACACGTTCGTTTCGTACTCCTCTCTTCGGTGTAATCTTGTACGAGCGGGAATGAATGGAATAGAGCTACAAATAATAGTTATATATTGTATCGCCTGTTGTCTATTCAAGGGTCCTTAGGTATATACGCTATTTATATCCGTATTTCAAGCGATGCTCAAGCCGTTAGTCAGTTTAGGCACACAAGGTGCTGTTGCTGGCGCTCAGCCTTGATTGAGGGTAGAGCACGATCGGGTTAGCCTTCATTGTCACAGAGATTGCACCATCAGAGCCTGCCGTGTACTGCGCACAGCTCACGAGGTCGACATAGACCTGGTCGGCAATGTAGCCAGTAGCTAGCAGGAAGCGAGATAGCACCAACGTTGCCAGCCTCTCCGGCATTAGTAGTGATGGTTACAACGTCAGCCTTCTTCATTGCGACGGTGTGGTCATCACTCCAGATCGGGTTAGCCTGGAAGGCAATGTATGCAGTTGGGTCCTGGTTGATGGCCAGCGTGCGGACACTGTTGAGTGTTGAGATCCACCCATACAGTTCGGAAGTGGTGTTGTAGCTCGAGGTCCACATGGGCTCACGGTTGTAGGGAGCCTCCGTGCCGGTGAACTCCTGCCACTGCTCTTGTCCCTGGTATATGATTGGGATGCCGTCCATTAGCATGGAGAAAGCCAGGGCGTTCTTGGCGAGAGTCATGTCCTGGGTTATCGAGGAGAAGCGGGGGTTGTCGTGGTTCTCGAGGAAAGAAGAGAAGGTGCTTGTCTTCAGAAGCGACTTCATCTCGTTGATGCCGGTGACCAGCTCAGAGAGGGTGGCCGAGCTGGATCCGAACGCGCGGGTGAGCCAGAAATATCTGTTGTCACGTTAAGTCAGAGTCTCATCTCGCATGGACGATGCATGGGATATGGGAACAGAAACTCACGCAGGGTAGTTGACGAAGCCTGGAACGTCGGCGACCCAGGAGGGAAAAGTGGCTGGACTACCGTTGAGGATCTCACCGGTACCGAACACGCCAGCAGAGGCCAGGAACTCCTCCCAGAAGTCCTTCTCAACGTGCTTGGTGGTATCAAGACGGAGTCCATCGATGTTGTACTTGGTGACGAGATCAGCGATCCAGCTCTTCCAAATGTCACGGACGTTGGCGTCCTCTGTGCGAAGATCGGCCAAGGAGACACCCGAGGTGCCCTCCCAGCACTTGATCACGGTCTCTGGGTCGTCATCGTTGATGACGCAGGGGTCATGGTAGTAAGAAGCAGAGTTGAAGGGGGTTGCCTGCGTGTAGTCGCACGAGGACATGTCGGCAGGGAAGGCCATATGGTTGGTCACCACGTCGATCATCAGGTACATGCCGCGCTCGTGGATCTCATCGGACAGGGCAAGCAGGTCGTCCTCAGTGCCGAAATGCTCATTCAGAGAGTAGATGTCCTGGGCCCAGAAGCCGTGGTAGGCGTCTCCGAGGCTCGTGCCCCCTTCGATGTTCTTGACAATGGGGGAAATCCACACGGCAGTAAAGCCCATGTTCTGGATGTAGTCCAGCTGGTTCTTGATGCCCGTCCAGGTGCCACCGCAGAAGGTGCCGAGGTCATTGCAGGCGGCGTTGGAGTCGCCATCAGGCAAAGCGAAGCGGTCCGTCAGGACCTGGTAGATGGACTGAGCCTGCCATTCTTCCGTGCTCAGCCCCTGAGCAAGACCGGCGGCGCCCAGAACTACCGCAGCGGCCGCCTTTGAGGCACCGCGAATAGAGCTGACCATGGTGATAGTGATAATGAAAACAGCAAAAGGAGTGACTGGATGTTGAAGGAATGTGATCGGCGCAGGGGCCGGGGAAGAGAAAATCAAGATGATAGAGAGAGAAGGGATCTACTCAGCAGGGACGCCTCCATGCTCATGGTTGGGGCGAGGGCGATGTTTAATAGTTCATCTTGGCCTTGGCGAGGCAGGGGCTCCTCCAAGGGGCAAACAAGCTGATCTCGTGGAATTCTACGTCTAGACTGTTTACGGGCTGCTCATCTCAGAAGCACCTACGAGCCATATCCACTATTCGGGCGGTACCTACAAGCGCGCGGCTTGACTCGCAGGCGAGATTGACAAGGGATCAAGGATCAGAAAGCCCCACAAGACACGATTTTGACAGCAACAGAGCTCGATTGGCTCGGCCTATCCCCCGCATCGGATCTGCACGTACTAGTACGTGCTATTCAAGTTTGTGTCATGTTTCTCGGAATATTGGTTCCACCGACCAACCACACGTCAAGCTATCTGGGAAGCTGCCGGCCATCTGCCAAACGTCTTCCTCTCAAAGCGGTGCCAGAAGCACAGCGTGGACAGAATCATCGACCCCTCTAGGATGTCAGCCCCACTCAAGCTGGCCGTCATCGGCACCAACTGGATCACCAACTCGTTCGTGCAGTCAGCCCATGAAAGCAAGAGGTTCCAACTTGTGGCCGTCTACTCCCGCAGCCTCGAGACCGCACGCAAGTTTCTCGCGGAGACGCCGTCCATCACCGATGCTTCTTCCGTCAAGTCCTACGATGATCTGGGCTCGTTGCTTTCGGATAGTTCCGTCGGAGTTGACGTGGTGTACATTGCCTCACCCAACTCCCTTCACTATGAGCAAGGATTGCTGGCGCTGAACGCTGGGAAGCACGTCATCATCGAGAAGCCGATTGCTTCGAATGGCAAGGAAATGGCGGCTCTGTACAGCCTCGCCGACTCGAAGGGCCTCTTTTTACTCGAGGCTTTCAGGCATATCCAGGAGCCCAACTTCCTCAAGCTGCAGAAGCTTCTGGACAGCGAGACCACTGAGGCTGGGAAATTCGGTCCCATCTACGGCGCCAGTGTCTCAATGGCCGTTTACTCGTCTCGTTATGCCAAAGTGCTTGAAGGCGAAGAGCCAAATGTGCTCTCGCCCAAGTTCTCAGGGGGAGCGCTTTGGGACATGGGGTGCTACCCTGTGATGTTCTCAGTCGCTCTGTTCGGAAAGCCTGCAGCCCAGACTTATCACCCCGTCATCATCCGCACTGGCGTCGACGGTGGCGGCCACATCATTCTCCAGTACAGCACGGAAACATCCAGACACAAAGCCAAGTTCACCGTTCATGCACACACAAGCAAGATTTACACCTCGACCGCGCCCACCGAGATATACTGCGAGAAAGGCACCATCAGAGTCAACGGTGCCACTGGTGTCACTGATATCAATACCATAGAGTTTGTGCCTCGGGGTTCAAAGGAAGGCGAGCAGCTGGCAGACACCAGGCCCGAATATCCAGGCTTACTGAATCTGACATGGGAGGCAAAGGAGCTGGGACGCATAATACAAGAAGGCGATAGGAAAGCTGAAGGCACGCTGAGAGAGCTTACAACTGATGTTTTGACGGCCATGGAGAGCATGAGAAAGCAAAACCACATCGTCTTCGGTTCCGAGAAGTAGAGTCCCATGCGAGGCCAATCGTGGAGGAAGCTATCAGCTCCCAAACGATGTTTCGAGGCGATTGCAACTTGGCAGCTATGTTCTCACATCTTCCATAATCGCGGGTGGTATTTTGCCGACTCAGGGCCCACGCGCCGCGGTCGGTTTCTGAGTATTGCTAGATCGCAACGTCGATGGGATCTCAGGACGGTGTGGTGGTCATCAAGGGAGCTCGTAGTGCATGGAAGGTCGTGTTCTGGGTCAGAAATTAAGACCAGCTTCACATATCAGTTCTTGGTTCCCCAGGACACTCGGGCAATGTTACATAACCCTTCAAGACGTGATACCTGAGTAGTGATCCTCAACCACGGACCAGAGCCTAAATAATACATGGCGTGAGATACTGGTTCCAGGAGTCTAGCGTGATCTCGATGGCTGTTCACTCAAGGTATATATCCTCATTCAGTCTTACAAGAGTATCTGTTCCAGACCATGAACCAGTGGCATTCCACTGGTTGGTGAACCAACATGCAAAATACCCAGGTATAAGCTGGATCCATTCGGAAACTTGCTAAAACAGCATTGTTTCGGCAGAGTTCATTCGAAGCATTGGAATTCCCAGGCCAATCGGCCTTGGGATGACACACGGCCTCAGAGGAGGTGTACTAGGTAGTAGTAGGGCATTGGGATATGCAATTGCTTGCACACCTACCTCCTCTGGAGCCAGGCCCGCTATCCTTGCCAACAAATTGGCCACACGAAACGCCACAGTCAAATGCCAGAACGACGTTGCATAAAGTCAAGGCACCAGAGAATTGGGGAAAGCGGGCTAAGCGGATAGATAAGGTACCTATGTATGCTTGCTTTGTCGTTTTCATCACCTTGCAGCTGCTGGCCGGCTAAGCATTGGACCAAAACGCTCAAGGTGCCATCCAACAAGGTTCGGATTAAGCACCTCAGGAAGCGGGACCAGTGGCCGGCACTGCGGTGCACCACTCACAATTGCAGATCATCGTCATTGTTCAGCTCACCCTGGTAGCTGAATATCTCCGCAAGACCAAGCGTATATAAATGAAATCCGCTCGTAAATACAGATTAGCCCATGCATCTCACAGCGAACCGCCTTCCTCGTCGACTGAGGCTTCCTTTGCTGCCCCTCGGTAGTCATAAAGAAGCCTTGTGACAGTCGGCGCAAAAAAAGTCTCTTTAATCACGATAAGAAATGGAGCAGGACGAACTATTGACAGCTACGGAGGACTCGGCCCTCCTCTCCGTGCCATCTCCCGGCACAGACCGAGGCAGCTGGCCCCTATACAGGGATCGCATATCTGCATTCCGACACCACGTCCAACAATGGCGGACATTCTACTCCTGCCTGCTGCTCCTCTTCCTGGTCGACGCCCCCATGTTTATGGGCGAAGGCCCGAGGATCCGGATGCTCGAAATGGCCCTCTGCCGAGAGTACTACCAGACCAGGGACCCGGGCGTGATCGGGCCCGGCGGGACAGTACCGGAGCGCCTATGCAAGCTGAGGGACATCCAAAGCCCTCTCACGCGCTTGCGGGGCTTCCTCGGCCTCCTGGAGGGCCTGCCGGGCCTTTTGTTCGCCGTACCATACGGCATACTCGCCGATGCCCGCGGCCGGAGGCTGGTCGCCGGCGCGTGTCTGCTTGGTTTCATCCTGAGGGACGTCTGGACATTTACCGTGCTCTACTTCTACGAAACCTTTCCCTTGCGGGCCGTTTACGCTGCACCGACTTTTGTGCTACTCGGGGGAGGGACGACGCTCTTCGGGCCGATGATAATGGCGATCGTCGCTGCTACTGTCCCCGAGGTGTTCAGGTCAGCCGTCCGCGATTGAGAGACCGGCCCTGGTATCTGCGAGACTAATTTTCTTGGTCGCAGGACCCAAGCCTTCTTTTACGTCCACGTTGTGATCCTTGTCTCTGAGATGGTCGCGCCGGCGATAGGCGTGCTACTTCTAGATGCAATTGGGCCGCACCTGACCTTCCTCGTCGGAACACCAGTGAAAGCGCTTGGCTTCATTGCACTATTTTTTATCAAGGAGAAGGCCAAAGAAGCAGATGACGGGAATCCTGATTCAGCTGGGGAGGAAGCTGAGCCAACAACGCATGGAAAGATACCGCGGCCACTGGCAAATCTGATGCGTTACATTCGTAACGACATAGGTTCTATCTTAACAAACCGACTTGTACTTATCGGTCTCCTCTTCCTGCCAGTCCAGAAGCTGAGCCGGCCGATGCTAGAGCTCATCCTGCAGTACACGTCTTTCAAATTCGGGTGGCCACTTAGCAGGGTAGGTAGAATCCAACCGTTCTTTGAGATTGGAGATTCGCAAGTGGTCTTGATGGAGGTTGACAAACACGCGAGTGCAGACAAGCTACCTAATATCAATACAAGCCGCCACGCAAATAGTGCTCTTCCTGTTCGTCCTCCCCAGTGCAAACCGTTGGCTCCTTGGGAGGCGCTGGCAAGCCTCTACGGCCAGTCTGGAACTCTCCAGGGTATCTGTGCTGTTTCTGGGGTCTGGGTGCCTAGGCATGGCGTTTGCGCCGACTGCTCCCCTATTCATCACATGTAAGTGAGCCCGTCATCCCAGAACGACTGCGTTTCTGTTCGCTCTCTCCCCGATGTTGCTTCAACTAGAACATGAATCCTAACTCGTCTGTAATGCTTTCCGCAGTTATGATCATGAATGTGTTCGGCGCCGGATTCGCCTCGGCGATGCGGTCGTTCCTGACATCTCTCGTCTCCAGGGCTAATATTGCCCTGCTGTACACGACCATGGCCCTCTTTGAAGGCACCGCGGTGCTGGGGGCCGCGCCGCTGCTTGGGCTGACGTTCTCTGCCGGGGTGGAGCTGGGCGGCTTTGCGGTGGGACTTCCCTTCTTCGTCTCTGCTGGTGTTTACGGACTGGGCGCAATAGGAGTCTGGTGCGTCAACTTCAAACGATGCGAAGTAGATTGACCGCGTGTTCCTAGCTATAAGTACATATGTGCGTGTGCGGCATCGAAAGACACTGTGTGCGGGGGCGGAGGGAAGAGACGGCAACGATCTTTGTTTGCTCTTTCTCACAAATTAACTCTGTGAACTCTTCCATTTATCTAAGTTTTATCCGCGGCGTTAGTTTCTGAACACATTCTTCGGTCTTCCACGTCAAATATACGAGTTTTCTCATCTAGTTGGTTCTTCACTGACATCTAGACTTTCTGGTTGTGCCCGGAATATTGGGACTACAAATGAGCAAGAGCTAAGTTCCGAAGAGGGAATTTCACCAAAATCAAATGAAGGGCAAACGCGAAGGTGACAGGCTTAGCAGATAGTGGGAAATACTCAAAGAGCCAATAGGTCTTCCGGGGGCGACACAACCCCCCCCCCCCACCAGCTCCATAAGCCGTAGTTCAGTTTTTCATACAGAAGTAATTGGTCTGAATGCAAATTGCTGACTTTCGGCAGTTCTGTTATACTTGAAGGCTATCGACTGGCCCTAAAGCTGGTGATGTCAACACAGAGTTGGAGTCGAAGACTCTGAGATGGAGTTTATATGTTCTCTATGTGGTGGTCAAGTCCACGGGATATTCGCTTGTTAAAAGGAAACAGGCATATAGACTAATGGCCTCGATCATGTTTAGCATACTTCCGAATTCGTTGATTCCATAAGATCGCCGACTTCACCCAGTCTGCCTTTGTCGAATGTCTCGAACCGGTCAATTTGCCAACCTATGTTATGCAAATCAGGTACTAAAGCTGATCAAAGCAAAAAGACGTATTCTTAATGACGACGCCGAACTGCTCATTCTGTGGTAGATAGAGACAAGGAAGCGTCTGACCCGCTGGAGGGATGTTGTGAAGTGGAAGGACACAGAGGGCCTCCAGTTGCGCCTCACCGATTTGCTCGCCGGGATATCACTGGATGAATACTTGTGGCTGACGGAGGATCTGATGTCCAACGAGAGTGACGGCGCTAGGAACAAGCAGCCCTAGATCTTGTTCAAAGCCTACCTTGACGAGGCATTCGAGGGCTTGTATGATGGATACAATCACGCTGGTAGATATAGATGAACTTGGTAAGTGAGACTAGGCAGCCCCATCTCAATTGTGCAGCCAGCTCAGAACTGAGTTGAATTTGCAGCAAAATGCTGCAGCGACAGATGTTGACGGCGGAGGCGACCAATGGGGACGTTGACGAGTGGTCTGGAGGGGCTCAGAAGCGTGGGGATGATTCGGGACACAAGGCTATCCGGGATTCCACAGATAAGTACGATCCCGATGCTAAATTCTTAGTACAGTTTCTTGCCCCCCCCCCCCACAATGCCAAGCTGGGTGCCGACATCACGATGTAAGAAAGTAGACTAGACAGGAGGAAACTTGAAGAGCAGGTTCTTATGTCGTGTGTTGAAGGATCCATCAGCTACGGCTTCAACGAGGGCCAGCTGGCTCTCATGCTTGTGGCTCTCATGCGACACGGAAATGTACAGTAGAAGACTCAGCAAAGACCTGTCAACAAAGCCAGCATAGCTCACCATTGGCCTAGCGACGGTGTTCCTGATCTATGACCCCCCCCCGGGGCCCCTGAAGGGAGAAAAAAAAAATGGAAAGGCAACAAGCCAGTCATTGACGTGACTGAATGTTGAGACTTCGGTTAAGAATAACCATACTTGATTGACCCTTATCGGCTACACTCAAGTTGTTGATGATGCCCAACATTCACCATGTATACTCATATATCGTACGGAGCCAGCGACTCCTTGAAAGGAGCAACGGCGATGAATCCGGCCAAGTGCGTTATGGCAAATCGTCAATCTAATGTGTACATGATTTGAGAGAGGTCGCGCAGGAGAGATGCGCGAGAGTTATCTTGCCCTTTCCGAGTGGGCCAGCACTCGAGGTTGGGCTCCAAGTCATGTAGCTGCCACAATACTAACACAAGAAGACAGTCTCACCTGCTAAGTGGGCTGAATAACCCAGCATCGTAAGGGAAAAACGAAAGTGCTGAAAGTATCTAATATCATATAACTACACGTGCTCGCCTGCCCTTGCATTGCCAATGTCGTGCCGTGCTGCCGGCAAATGGAGATGGCCGTTGATCAGTGAGCAGCGAGTGTTTCACACACAGACAGACACATGGTGGTGCCCATGCAGACTCGTGTTCTCGCTCTGGCTGGCCGCGCGGCTGCCAAGGAGACGCCACGCTCTGGGGGCCCCAGATTGTCGGAACCCATTTGAACGCTAATTACGAAATGGGATGGGTGTTGATGCACTATCAGCTACGTAGATTGGCGATTACCTCGGCGTCATGACTAAGTGCCCCGGGCGTGCAGACACCCAGACAGCGCAGACAAAGACGTGCCTCCTCGCGTGCTCTCTCCTCGCCGCATCCATCACCGGGAAATGCAGGTTTCTTATCGCCTGGCCCCCTGGCAACAAGTGGGACTACCTAGGCACCTTGGCCTGTTCCAGGTCGGAGGCCGGCGTTCGGTCGTCGTCACGCTGCCTATCATCTGCTGGTATCAGTGGCCATCTGTCGTCCCCGGAGCCATCAGTTATCACCCATCATCTCCCGCTGCCCAGTCCCTTGTCCGATCCTGGGGCTCCCAGACTCCGCCGATGATCCCCTTCCATGCATTGATAACCCGGCTAGCCCGCTGCACACGCGCACTTTAGCTCACGCACTTGGCCTTGGCCTCTTGGCCTCTTCAAGCTGTTCTTTGCCCAGCGCCACAGCAGAAAAAAAGACAGCCGCAGTCGCTCACGGCCTATATCTCTCTGTCTTCGCCTGTGCCTCCGCCCGCCTTCCTGTGTCCGAACCGACGACACCAGGACGTCGCCGTCGTCGCATCCACCCCAACCATGAGCAGACCTCCGACCTCGACATCAGCGTCCAGTGCGCGCCGGAACTCGGCCCTCGGCCATGGAGGCGGCGCGGCAGACGATGACCTCGCGCGCATGGGCTACAAGGCCGAGCTGCCCCGCTCGCTGTCGATGCTGTCGGTGCTGGGCCTCAGCTTCGCCATCATGGCCGTGCCGTACGGCCTGTCCACCACATTCCTCTACTCGCTCGCCAACGGCCAGTCCGTCACCGTCTTGTGGGGCTGGGTCATGTTGTCGCTCATCAGCACCTGCATCGCCGCCTCGCTGGCAGAGATCTGCAGTGTCTTCCCGACTGCCGGAGGCGTGTACTATTGGGCCGCCCTACTATCAACTCCCGAATGGGCGCCTATAGCGTCTTGGATCACTGGTACGTACAACTCACACACGCACACACACTCACATACTCCGAGTCCTCTCTTATCATGGTCTCTCTCTTGCTCGACTCTGCGGGATGCCTTGCAGGACTCTCTGGTCTTGCCGTGCGGGACGTGATCTAATCAACGCACAAACACAGGCTGGCTCACCCTCGTCGGGAACTGGACCGTCACGCTGTCCATCAACTTCGGCGGTGCGCAGCTCATCCTCAGCTGCATCACCCTCTGGCGCGAGGACTTTGTCGCCACCCCCTGGCAGACGGTCCTCATGTTCTGGGCCGTCATGCTGGTCACATACCTGGTCAACATCTTCGGCAGCCGCTACCTCGACCAGATCAACACAGCGTGCATATGGTGGACCGGCGCATCGGTCATCATCATCCTCGTCGTGCTGCTGGCCATGGCTCGCGGCGGCCGCCGCAGTGGCGAGTTCGTCTTTGCACACTTCGACGCCTCCGGCTCTGGCTGGGCCCCCGGCTGGTCCTTCTTCGTCGGCCTGCTGCAGCCCGCCTACGTGCTGACCGGCTACGGCATGGTTGCGGCCATGTGCGAGGAGGTGCAGAGCCCTGAACGTGAGGTCCCCAAGGCCATCGTGCTCTCCGTCGTCGCCGCCGGCGTCACGGGCCTGCTGTACCTCATCCCCGTGCTGTTTGTGCTGCCCGACGTCCAGGAGCTGCTCAGCGTCGCCAACGGCCAGCCCGTCGGCCTCATCTTCAAGACCGCGACCGGCAGCGCGGGTGGCGGGTTCGGCCTGCTGTTCCTCATCCTTGGCATCTGGCTGTTCGCCGGCATCGGGGCCCTGACCGCTTCGAGCAGGTGCACGTACGCCTTCGCGCGGGACGGCGCCATCCCCGGTTCCGGCCTGTGGAGCCGCATTGACAAGCGCTTCGACATCCCGCTGTGGGGCCTGACGCTCTCCTTCCTCGTCGACTGCCTGCTCGGCCTGATCTACTTCGGCTCTGCGGCCGCCTTCAACAGCTTTACCGGCGTCGCCACCATCTGCCTCTGCGCCTCCTATGCGCTGCCCATCCTCGTCTCGGTCGTCAGGGGCCGCAGGGCCGTCGCGTACGCGTCCTACTCGCTCGGCAAGCTCGGCTTCGCCATCAACATCGTCACGCTGTGCTGGGTCGCGCTGTCCATCGTCATCTTCTGCATGCCCTCCGTGCTCACGGACCTGACCGCCTCCTCGATGAACTACGCCAGCGTTGTGTTTGCCGGGTTTGCGAGCATCAGCATGGTTTGGTATTTCGTCTGGGGTAGGAAGCACTTTGCTGGCCCGCCTATTCTGAAGTCTGAGCTGGCTGGCAATGGCGTGGGTGTTGTTGTACACGGGCGGGATGTGGAGACGGCGACCAAGGGGGAGCATAGCAAACTGGACGAGGCCGAGAAGTCAACGTAGATCTCACCATGGTCACGATTCTGTGGGCATTTGATATATATATATGTAGATGTGTATCTACATATTCCTACACCTGCAGGTTGGAGCATTCGGCAGTGTATTTCAGAGCTCAAGTAAGCCTGCAGTGATGATGTTTGACCATAACCTAGAATTTGGCGCCCGCTCCAAGTATCACAGACCCCTTCAACACATTGCCATCTTGAGGGCAAGCCGGACATGTTTAAAAGCCCTGTTTCTTGACCTGAGCCTGAGCAGCAGCGATGGTGGCAGCAGAGTTCGGGTCATCAAAGCCACAGCCCTGCTTGCCGTTCTGGAACTGGGCGCCCTCGGCGGAGCAGATGCCAACGCCGCTGGTGTTGATCTCGGCGCAGCATGCACTGCGACAGTCCGCATCGGCGACACACCCGCCGGTGGTGAACTGCTGGCCCTTGCCGTTCCCGACGTCCTTTGCACCGGCGTTGTTGGGAGCCAGGGCAAGAGCGGAGACGGCGACTGTCACGTCAGGAGAGGTCAGTACTCTTGTCCAGGTGTGGCATCCAGCCAGTGGGGCTTGGGTGGGATGGAACTCACAAGCCAGAACGGTGGTGAGAGCGATGCGAACCATGTTGGGTAGTGAATGTAGTATCGAACCGAAGTGTTGTGATTATAATTGATTAAATGTAGTATTTGTTAAAGAAGGTGACGACAACCAGGTCGCAAGGGAGCGTGAGTCTTAATGAATGAGCTTTGGAAATGAGATGAACAACGGATGAAAAACCTGACTTGCTCTTGGCAACAGCTGCATCCTTATATACCCGATCCCAACTCATGGCACAGAGGATGGCTGCGTGCCGTGGTCTCCCAACCCAACACCACGACGGGGTCGTGTTATGACGATTAGGGGGGTTTTGCCATTGTATGTATGCTTGGATGTCAGCAGGGCAACCACGAATCCTCAGTGAGTGGTACGTCGCAGATCCGCGGATCTGGAGGTTATAGGTTCATAGATGGTGCGTTTCAGGTATTTATCCAGCCTCAGCTTGGAGACGGCGTCAGCGTTTGAGTTTCGCTGTTGACAACGCGGGAAGGACCTCGTCGGAACTTCGGGACCGATGCCGGCCACTTAAGTACCACATGTCTACCGTGTCGGCACCTCTTGTGTCGGGCAGTGACGCTTTCCACTGCCGGGAGATGGCGGTAAGATAAGCGATAAGGAGCCTGTGCCCCTTGGTCCCTTCCGTGCCTCAATATCCCTCAAGAAGTCCTCCAGCGATTTCTCAAACAACAGCAGCAGAAACAATATTTGCTGTTGTAGCACGCCGCTCCAGTCGCCTCGGGCTGTTATGTACAGGCCCGCGAGACATGGAGTACAAACGACTACAGTCCTCGCCCAAGATCAAGCCCCGGCTGATCATCCACGGCGGGGCAGGGAACATCAAGCCGACGAATCTAACACCGGAACGATATGAGGCTGTCAGGCGATCCCTCCTTGGCATGGTGCGTGCATCAGAAAACACGGTTCCAGCCTGATTTATAGGACGGCTTTGGACTAATAACCGGCTCCATCTTAGATCGCCAAAACGCACAGCTATATGCACGCCGCTTGCCCGCCATCCGCACTCCAAGTCGCCACTTACGCAGTCACCCTGCTTGAGAATGACCCCTTGTTCAACGCCGGGAAAGGCGCAGTCTTTACGCGTGATGGAATCCAGCAGCTCGAGGCTTCTGTCATGGTGTCGCGGGGACACGCCAAGCGCGCGGCGGGAGCCCTGGGCCTGCAGCATGTGAAGAATCCCAGTAAGCACCGTCAGGATCCCATGATAGACCTTCCGAGGTGGTCAGCCTCCCATTATCGTGTCGTGCCTGCCCTACTGCCTGTCTTGACGCTATTCGTTGGGCACAGACTCTGTAACAGGTTGTGGGCAGTCGATGGCCTGCCTCAACACCCCACCCCCTTGACACCCTCAAGCTTGCGTCTAAAACCTCGTTCTCGGTGATGTGATGCCTAACCATATATTCTGTGTAGTATTGCTCGCCCGGGAGATCCTAGAGCATGGCGAGGAGGACCTGTGGGGAAGAAAAGGTCAAGGCCATCGAGACAGCATGGGTGTATCCGACGGCAAGACCAACAAAAATGGCAGCTCCGACTCGGTAGATGTCGACGTACCCTCCGCTCAGGGACACACGCTCGTCTTCGGAGCCGCGGCGGAGTCATTGGCCAAAAAGTATGGGCTCGAGTTCGCGCCGACGAGTTACTTTTTCACTCAAACGAGATGGGACGAGCACATTCGCGCCCTAGAGCAGGAGAAGTCCGGGAGGCAGTACTCAGCAACATGGTCACCAGACGAGTACTTACCACAGGGCACGACTGGCGCTGTGGCCCTTGACTCGGATGGCGTTGTCTGCTGCGCAACCAGCACAGGCGGGCTGACGAACAAGTTGACCGGCCGGATTGGAGACACACCTGTTCCCGGTGCTGGGTACTGGGCAGAGGAATGGGACGAAAAGGGCGGCTCTTCCAAGAAGTCATGCTCACCCCTATCAACCTTCTGGGATCGTGGGTTGGAGGCAGTCCGCCACTCGGGTTCGGTCCTCGAATTCAGTGGCGCGCTGCGAGGACTCATGGCTGATTGCCTACCAACTCCCTTCACTTACACCCCGCTCATATCGTCCATACCTTCCCAGTTGACCACTACCCGCTCTTTCGCAACGTCCGGTACGGGCAACGGGGACTCGTTCCTCCGTGTTAATGCTAGCCGTACTGCAGCTGCTATTGCACGCTGGGGCGGGGTGCCTTCTGCGCAAGCCTTGACTGCTGTCACGGGACCTGGGGGCCAGTTGCAGAAGTCGGCGGGAGATCGATGGATGATCACCGGGGAAGGAGAGGGCGGCATGATCGGCATTGAGAGCACCGTGGTGAGAGACGCGCAGGGGAATATCGTCCAAGCTCGGAACATGATCATCCAGGACCACAACTGCCCGGGCATGTTCCGTGCGTGGGTCGATGACAACGACAAGGCCGTGTTCCAGGTCTGGCATGACAGTGACGAGGTATCCGAGCTGGGATTCGAAGGAGAGGGCCTCAGGGAGAAGATTTGGGCTTGGGAGGGGGCCAAGTTGGGTGCTTAGGTGCGGCGTCGATGTTGAGTGAGCACGTGTGGTTACAAGGGCATAGATTTTGTGCAGGTTGATAGAGCCAAAGACTAGATATATTGCCAGAAGATGGGGTGTCACATGTGCCTACCGTGTCCTCCTGAAGGAATGGGAGTCTCCAACTGTTGCGTGTCTTGGTGGTTGGACGGTTTGAACTAGAACAGTACCTAGGTAGTCAGCCAGTGACCTGTGCTGCAAAACAACGTCATGGCACCCGAGGATCAGAGACCCCTGTGAAGGGTCTAGAAGGAGGCTCGAGTCGTGACGGAATGGAAGCCAGCAGGTCATGGTTCTAATGGGATCACTGTCTTCTGCGGGAGCTTCGATTGCCAGCAGGATGGTTTCTTCCAGACGGTGGGGAAAGGGCCACGTTTGGTCGTCGGTCCGAAAGAAACTGCATGGCCTATGTCTCATCCGGAATGAGAGATATTTCGATGATTCTTCGTCCTTTCCCCTAGTCCGTTGCAACCCCTGGCTGTGCTGCAACTTTACAATAGCGTGTCTCCGTGTCCTGTGGCCTTGAGGCTGTTAAAACCCAGCCCATCCCTGTCTAAAGCGGCGCTACCCGTACCAAGCTTTCTGTCAAAGCATAATTACCAGACCGACCCCTGAACAGCCGCCTGCCGAACAGGCTCCTTCGTGCACTGCTGCGCGGTTTAAATTGCGAGCCACCACGCCCAGCGGCCCGGCCACCCAGGTAGATGGGTACTGTAGCTGGATTGAGCGACGGCGTTCATGGGACTGAGGCCAACTTCTTGGAACTCCAGGTTTGATGAAAGTGAGAGTAGCAAAGGCTGAATGAAGAGAAGCACAGGAATATGTTTGAACCTCAAAACTGCTGCAGCTGCTCATCCTTACGCCCCAACCATTGCCTGCAATGGCTGCCAGCTCGTATCCAACCAGCTGCGCAGCCACTTGGACGCAGGGTCTCCGTTGCGTTGGGGGGGGGGGAGGGGGGATCGCTAGCTGGGGCCGAGCCTCGGGAGCAGTGGCATCGTGTTGAGTGGGCGAAGCACGGAGGTCGCAGCTGAATCTATTCTATGTACTGTACTCCTACAGCGTGCGTTCGGCCATGTTTCACCGACCCTAGACCGGACGTTTCCTTTGCAGACCCTGAAAATTACTAACTCCTTTCAAGTCCTGTTGCATTCGTCGTGTTTCTCAGGCCCTTCTCGGCGCCGTGTATAAATGAGCAACGCTTCCGGCCCCTCACGCGCGCCTTTTCTCGTCCATCTACCTTCCGACCCAGAACGCACCTGTGTTGACACGTCCAATTACTACTCCCCGTTTCGATGATCCATTAAGCACATACGGATGCCAGCCGACTGCTCTACTCTCTGTTTTCACCCTTGTTACTGCTCCACATGGATGACCACAATGTCTTGGCCAGGCGCCATGACGAGCACCTCGATAGAATGCCCCTGACGACAATATCCATCCTGGCACCATTCAGTGCCCTGATAATGAGCATCGTGTTCGTCGTATACTTCGCCATCCGATTTTACGTCCTGGAAGGATTCTTGCTCAAGAGGATATATGGCGCAACATACACGACCATGGACGAGACAGTGCGGAGGGGGTTCGTCAACCATCACATAGCAGGCGGCACCAAGATTCTAATACTCGTTGCGGCCATCTACCCCTTCATCTCTGTTGTTTTCGGAACAGCCACCTTCCATACTCGCTTTTCCGGAACGACATCGCCAGTCACGATGGGCGACATCCTGATTGTCGTGTCACAGATGCTCATGGCAATGTACATTTTCGAGCTCTTCTATCGGCCCAAGATATCCCCAGTCAGCGTCGGACATCACGTGGGCACCATCATGATCGGGCAGTCGGCAATTGCAATCAGCCTAGATCTCATTAGAGAGCCAGACGCTGACATTGAGTTCTCTCTCTGCTTGGTGTGGGGTGAGTGAGCAAAGCCGAGCCCACCGCCAATGCCGTCTTCACTGTCAATAGCACAGGAACTAACGCGAAGTCTTGGGACAGGTGCTTTTGATATCATCGCCGAGTTCTTGCCACATGTCACTATCATATTGTATAGAGTCTACCCTAACTCGCATAACTTCCTCCGAAGGCTTTTCCTTGCAGCCATGACCACAACCTTGAGCGGAACAATAGCCGAGACAATTGTAACGATGTACATGTTCGGCTCCTTATGGAACAGATGGACGCTGGCGTTCAAGATCACGACTCCCATGCTCCACATCCTCTTCGCCGCGGCTCAGCTCTGGGGCTCGTGGAACTTCTACTGCCTCTACCACAAGCAATGCAGACTCTTAGTCGCAGGAAGGTCCCATGACACTCACGCGGCTGAGGAAACCAAGCCGGCAAGGGATCATCGCTCTGATCCGGAGAATCTGTGGCCCGTGGGAGATCCTCAGAGGGTTCAGGTTGGTTAAGTCAGGAATCATACATATATCTAATAATGGCAAGACAAGCACGGTCTCTTTACTTACACATTCCTTATATTTGTTATAATACAGCTGAAAGCCTTTGGCATCTATGAGTTACTTCGGGTTGCCAGGCCAATCTCGGGTCTATTTAATGTAGTCCTCACCCAACATCCACTTCTTCTTGTCATACTGCTGCGGCCAGACTCCGCTCTTGCCCGGTGCCAAGATACCGTTGGGGTCGAGGGCGTTCTTGATCTTCTCATTCAGTTTCATGAGTGCGTGGTCGTTGAAGTCATAGGTCATGGCTACTTGGTCCATCATGCCAATGTGCGTCCTGAACTCGCCCCAGCCGTTTTCTGCCCAGTCCTTGATCATCGTGCGGACAAGCCATTGCACCCGGCGGCGCGCGTCAGGGTCCTTGCGGTCAAAGACAATGCAAACGACGTTATCTGTTATTGATGATTAGTGTGATACTGTACTAATCAACAGAGGAAGGAGGTCTGACTTACGCATCTCTCGCATTCCGATGCTGAAGATGCCCATGTAATCCAACTTGGCTTCATCAAATCTTTTCTTCGCCGTCACGTATTGAGCCCAGGCCGACTCGCCGGACACTTTGGATATCGGTGCCAGCGACATGAAGGAGCAGTTCGGAATCCATGTTTGGAGCCAACCCAGCTCATCCATGTTTGCCACGCCTCTCATGGTGTGAGCCCGACACTCCAAGGTACCAAACGTTTCCTTGCGGTCCTGCTCGTTGAAGAAGCGGCTCCCCGGGACCTTCAGCATTTCCTGCTTGATTATTTTGAGGTGGGCCTCACGGATTACTGGAGGGCCATATACGGCGCCCATGTAGACCCATCGGCCCAGATCGAGCTGTTTCGCCCCCCGATCCAAGTCCTCGTCGGTCAGAGGCTCGTCCAAAGCCTTGCCAGTGTAGTGTGACCTGGAGTTGTAATGTGCCAGGTCCAGGCCGACATGCCTCAGCGCAGCAGCATTCTGCAAGATCATGTTCACGCGCAGCGGTCCAATGATGTCGATGATCTGCGGAAGGTCCTCGTCCTTCTCGTACGTGACCATGAACGCCTCCATGCCCGGCGGGCGCGGCATCAACCACATGCCCATCTTGGTGACGATGCCATTTCCAGCCTGTGAGAAGATGCCATCGTTGACTGGGCCGAAGCCGTAAGGGAAGAGCTGCCAACACTCGTTCGGCTTCTGGTCCGCCGGGTGCACGCCTTGCTTGGCCTGCTCCCGTCCCTCGGGACTGGACATGGCGCCCATGCCGGTGCGGACAATCTCACCCGTGGGCAGGACAATCTCGATCCCGCAGTGCATCATCCAGTGGTCTCCGTAAGGCGTGAACCCGACCCCGTGATCAAGAGCGTTGCCGATCACGGAGCCGTACCCCAGCTCGGGCGCGTCCATCATGACCTTGTCGTCGAGCTTGTGCTCGCGCAGGTACTCCTGCAGCTGGAGGTACGACACGCCCGGCTCGAGGAGGCAGTAACAGTCGACAGCATTAACCTCCAGCACCTTGTTCATGTGCTTGCCGAGATCCATCACCAGACTTCCGCTGACGCGGGGTGCCGCCCCACCGTAGCCCAGGTTGTGTCCCTTGCTGAAGACCCATAGCGGCGCGGCAAAGTCGTTGCAGAGTTTGACAATGGCCTGGACGTCCTGGACATGGCGTGGACGCACGAGGGCAGATGCAATGAACTCTTCGTGGTCGTAGAAGTTGTGCATGTCGTGTGTCAAGCAGTCAACTGTCTCATAATCGCCATCATCCAGGACAGTCTCAGAGGTGATGACAGCAAGATTGCTCTTGCCCACGAGTGAATGTAAAGTGGAAATGAAATCTGAGAATTTGTTGTCGGTAAACCCGGGGGGAAGGCATCGAGGCTTCGGTACGCCGGCACTTCCATTGGCCGGCTGTCCAGTGGTGTCTTCTACACCCGTTGCACTTGGGGGAGACATTTTGGAGATGGGTGTTGAAACGATGCAATTGAAGTTTGTGAATGCTTTGGTATGGGGAAAGCAAATTGTAGAAATCAGTAGGAAGACCAATATATATATTTGTGCGTGTGTGTGTCTGTAATTAATTGCAATGATTAATGATTGACACAATGAGTGTGGCTCAACATCTCCGAGACCCCATGTTGTGTACTACATCCCAAATAGTGACTTGTGATGTGGTGGAACGAGATTGTTCGATATCTCCCCAAAGCCACCTGTCGATGTGAAACAGCCCTACACTCGAGTGGTGGTTATTGACTTTGATACTAGTAGATCCTCATGTCTTGTCACCGGCAAAGTCGAGCCAAGAGTACAGCTCCGGACTCCCCACACATTACCGGTTGCCAAATATTGACAAGGAATGAATCCATGATACTAGATCAGATGAACATGGCTGTGTGGTGCAACGGCATGATCATGCTTCCCGTCGAAGGTTGATGTCGCACCCTGTCTGAAACATGGCTGTGATCGCGCACCTCCGCCCATCGGTGCCTCCCCAATCTATGTGCAGTAAAACCTCATGTTTCCTCTCACATGTCTGCTCGATTGCCGCCCCGGGACTCTGTTTCAGATGCGGAATCTAACTCTACTGGGTTCCGCGAACCGAACAAGCCTGGGCTCCGTCGCATTCCGGAACCGACGCGGACTCCGTCTGTTCTGGCCAGCTGCGACGTGAATGGGGACCAAAATGAGTCTGACTTGGTGCCAAGAGCTGTTCTCAAAACCATGTTCGACGTCAAGCCTATCACTCGCAGCAAAGGTTTCTCGCCGGCATCCGGATGGGCAGTGGTTGGAAGCGGAGGCAGCTTGGGCTCTTCCATCGTTGTCACAAAGCCATAGATAAACCAGCCTGCTTGCCACAGTAGCTTCCGACCTGTTTCAAAAGCTCGATGAATCTTTTTGTGTTTATTCTTTGCGCTCTCTGTTGTTAAGGAGAGCCAAACACGGGTTCCGCGCTCTCATCACACCAGGTCAGTAATGAGCACTCTTACGGCCACCGCAACTGCAGCCGAGTCGGCTTCAATCCAACCGCTACACAGAATGGTCCGACTTGCCGAAGACGATGAGCCCAATTGGGGCTCCAGAGCTATTGGCCCTTTCGAAAACATCAGCCCCAAGGCAGATGGATTCATGACCAGCGGCAAGATTGGAGGTCTTGATGCCCCAACAAACCCAGACCACAACTGGTGGTGGCAGCGTACTGCGCCCCTGCTTGCCACCCTCCTCCGCAGCGCTGGCTCTTATACACACGAGCAGCAGCTTGACCACATGCGCGTGTATCGCGACGCCGTGGTGCCAACCTACGGGCCGCCTACACCTCAAGCCACTGTCCGTCCGTTGTTGACAATGGATGGCTCTCCGGTCGAACCGTCGTGGAATTTTCAGAACGACGGGACAGTGGTGCGCTATACCTTTGAGCCGCTGCTGCCGAATGACGACCCGGAAAACCCCTTCCCCGGGGACAAGATCACGACGCTGCTACCACTGCTACGATACGTCGCGCCAGGTGCGGATACGCGGTGGTTCGAGCAGGTCTGGTCTCGCTGGTTTGTGCATGAGAAGAACGAGGTGGCCGCCGCGAAGGCCGGTCTCCCACCACACAAGACCCGGGCGCCGCAGATCTTTGTGGCATTTGACATGAAGGGGGCCGAGCGCATCATGAAGGTCTACCTCTTCCCCGTGCTCAAGCACCTTGCCACTGGTGTCAGCACCGAGGACTTGACCTGGGACACCATTCGCAACCTTGAGCCCGGTGGGCAGGGATTCAGCAGGGTGGTGGACAAGCTGTCCAATTTCCTGGCAGGGTACAAAGAGCGTATGCCTGTTGAGATGATCGCCATCGACTGCATCGACCCGGCCAAGGCGCGCATCAAGGTATACGCCCGGACAAAGTCGAATTCGAAAAGTACCATTCGCGACGTGTGTACCCTGGGTGGTCTGCAAATGGACGAATCAACCATGCGCGGCGTCGAAAATCTATCCAAAATATGGCACCTCCTCCTCGATGAGCCAAACGGGATTGCTCCAGACCAGTCCAAGCCGCCCCGCTTCCCAAAGGACCACCACGTGGGCATTTGTTTTGTCTTCGAGATGAGGCCAGGTCAGGAGAGGATCGAGGTCAAGTGCCATTTGCCTTGGGCGCAGACAAACTCCAACGACATCCGCACGACTGCGAACTTTACCGAGGCGCTCGAGTTGCTGGGCTACGAACGGCATGCCGGCAAGTACGCCAGGGGCGCCTTAGCTGCGGCCATGATGTGAGTAGTAGCTATCGCTTCTCGGCTTACATACAGTTGAAGCATCAACGTTGACTGACAGCATGAATATCAACACAGACCCGGGATTGATTTCTCAAAGCCAGGGGCCTCGTCTTACACGTCGTACAATTACGGACGAGGCCACTTGGGCTACGGTGACTACATATCTTCGTATTTTTCACCCATGTGCCAGGGCTATGATTAGCGAGTTCTGTATATAGCTGGCAAGGGTATGGAAGTCATTGGATGCTCAGACTAGGGATAGCATGGGTTAGCTTGGTCGGATTTGATCGGGATTGGTAAACATTTTTTGGCACGACAATTGTTATATTCCAGCGACTTCCTGTTTACAAGACCGCATCTCCAAGTCAAATAATCGTGTCATCTGAGAATCTCGACATGTGAAGGTGGCCATGACTTAACACTATCCAGGTAGACATGAACGGCACAAATATAGCATGCCCAGGTGAGAACAGTCCACTCATTTCCCGTGATAGGTCTATGGTGGGATGCTGGCCGAAGCTGTCAACCAATGTTGCTGGATCTCGCGGTTTTCTTGGCTTCGTCCAGCCGATTTTCAGATGCAGTGGACGGCTAACCCTGCAAATCAAGAATACAACAAGGTGAACTCAATTCGTCTCTATGATCCACCAACCACAAACCAATAGCCGAACCGCTCGCGCGCCAGCGCCAGACTCAGCACCAGGTGCAGCATATGACTGTGCCACGAAATCGCCCTGGTACCAAGTAGACAGTTCCTCTCAGCTAAGCTTCCGGAACGATGGATCGATCTGCAGCGTCAAGGTCTGGCCCCGGAAGCCTCGGGACGGTCGGAAGAACGTCTCTTCGCATGATTCAACCTCGTTGCCCGCCGCCTGTCCAGTTGCCAACTCGACCTTTTCTGGCATACGCGAAACCACTTGACCAACATATTTCTTACCGCAGCAGGATTTCATGTTGCTTTACAAGGTCCAAGTCCGCCCGGAACGGGTGGCGCGTGGGGATGGTTTCATCATGACTTGCAGGTGTTCCATGCGACTTCTGGACGTGATGGTAGCAGACGTACGCGTTGCCCACTACCGGGGTCTGAATAGGACGATACCTTTGGCGGTCGAGGCGCAGTTCGAAATGAGCTGCAGAACACCGGGTTTCCTAATTGCAGTAATTGTTTCCGCGGGTCGACAAGTCCTATCATGTCTCTTTGAAACACCGTGCCGTCTAGGTTCGCAGATCTTTCGGATGAAACATGGCAGACGTCAAGGCTGTCCAGTCAACCTGGCCTCCACCTGACAGCCGTGTGTCTAGGTTGTAAAAGACGCCGTCAGAAACAGGGCCGTATGCTGCGCTTCGGACATCCGCTGTCTTTACATGTTGGAGGTCAACCAAGAGTGGGGTTCGTCAGAAAGACGTCCGGAGCAGAACAGCCTCGTCAGTGCTATTCAAGCCGCCTTGCATGAAATGCCAGGGGACCTAGCATTGCGCCTGGAATAGCTGTCTTCCGGAGGACCTTCTCCTTGGTCGCGTCGGCGGAAAGGAATGGAGCCTTCTATGGAAGAATCGTAATAAGGCAGCGGTGGTGTATCCGGACTTGACAAGTAATGCGATAGTCCGATGAAGGCAGTTCTTGCCAGAGGCCGTGGAGACCTCAAATGTTCATTCATGTATTCACCATGTGTTCAATCCAGAGCCTGTAATATAAAGTTGCGGTCAACTCGGCTGTTTTCAGCGTGTTGTCCACCGCAACTCTAAGTCTTAATCATTGAAGAGCAATATCGTCTCTGGACAGGAACTACTGCATTTTCTCCCTAACAGCCCAACCCAGACATCCAAAATGGCCGCTAGTGGACCTCCTCCCCCAACTGCAATCACTGAACGGGTAATTATCCCGGTAAAGGGTGGTGTTGAGCATTGGAAGGAGCCCTACAAGCAGCTCCTCTTGACCCTCAAAAACCAGCCTGGTTACATTAGAACAAGATGGGGCCCCCGCAGTGAGGATCCGCAAACTCTAGATTTGATGATTGGTAAGTCCACAGAACAAAACCCGCGGACCTGAGCACTCGTTGACCAGCGCAGGCTGGGTGTCCCCCGAAGCCAAGAACGCCTTCGTGTCAAGCGATGCCCACTCCAAGTCCATGGATCAGATGGGCCAGGTCCTCAACGGCAAGCCCTGGGGCTACACCATCAAGTTCAGGCCTTACGCGCCCCGCGAGGCCATCAATTCGCCTATCGTGGAGATGGTCACCATTCGCAACTGCACGGGCAGCGAAGAAGATCTCAAGGCCTTGATCGAGAAAGCGTTCAGCCTGCCTGGCTCTCGTGGCGGCGCCTCTGGCTTTTCTACGGAACAGGTCGAAGGTCACGGCAAGGTCTTTGTCGGGGCGATCGGTTGGGACAGCATTGATGCTAGCAAGGCGGCCGACAAATCTTCTTACATTCCCAATGGTGTCGGGGATGTCGAGGTGCACCATGTCAACTACAACTTCCCCATCAAGGGCTTCTCAGTCACTAACTCGAACTAACCACGTCTGACGGCGGTGACTGGGAAAGATTCCCGGGAGGAGTTGTTGGAATCGAACAGAGCCGGGTGCTCCAAGCAGTTTGCATGGCTGGGTTATAGGGTAGCTTGGTAGATGTTAGAATGCAGAATGGAGTCCATAAAACAGTACCCGTCAAACTTCACACTTATACAGTGTCTCTGCACTGCAACTTAGAGTGAGTCCCTTAGTTGATGGCTACACAACTCTGGCTGAGTATAACGTAGTTTTCGGATCTAATAAATGTACGCTTATCTTTCAAGATCAATATTGCCAAGTCCTGTAGAAATCAGGTTCAACACATGCTTTGATCCATCACCTGCTCTGGCCGTGATTGAATCTCTGCCCGAGAAAGTCGATACAGATTGGTAAAAAGTCTCGTCCACCGGGCCTTGGCATTGTGACGCTTCCAGCAGTTCATTGTAACGTCCTATACGAAGCTTTAGCGTTCCACGCTGAAACATCTAAACTTCGCATGCATCCTCGTTTCACCTCATGTATCCCATTTAAGCAAACATAAAACCACAACGCATGGTTTCCCCACCACACTGTCCGGAGGAGGCGCAGAACTTAGTTCTGGCACAATACGACTGCATCGAACTACACCCCCGGGACGGGACTCCGTAGCTATCAGGCTAGTCCGGCTTGACCGTTGTCAGCAGAGTTGGTATGAGCACCGTTGGATCACATGGAAGAGAGGCGACACAGAGGATTTCGTACGTCACATACTCGAATGCCTGGAACCGTCCCACATGTAATGTCTCAGAGGATTGTAGCTACCTTTTGTGTTCTTTTGCAAGGGGTCTGTCACGCATGGGCTCTCATATTTATACTCCCACGCGCTCCGGCCTTTTGGTGGCATACAGCAGTCTGTTTTAAGGGGGAGCCACCGCGTAACGAAAGAATATAAAATTCGTTGCGTTTCTTGTTGCCAAGCATCTGTTAGACCACCCGACCGAAACATTACCAAAATGGTGCAAAAAGTCCATAACGTCGCCGTTGCCGGTGTAAGGAATCTCGTTCAACCCGCCCCAGGCGGCTTCTCTGAGTAGCATGGTAACATTTGATCACAGGGCCGAGGAAACATCGGTGCACCCGTGGTGGCAAACCTCCTCGCTCATGGGTTCGATGTTACAATCCTCGTGCGCAAGTCCAGTGACACCAGCAGCTTGCCAGCTTCAGCCAAGGTCAAAAAGGTCGACTTCGAGTCCACTGATGATCTCACCGCGGCACTGGCTGGACAGGATGCTGTTGTCGACTGCACGCTTGTGCAGGATGATACGCCCAAGCGCCTCATGGACGCCTCCCTCGCCGCAGGAGTTTACCGGTATATCCCTTCGGACTGGAGCCTCGACCCACTTAACAAGGCCGCCAACTCCCTGCCGGTCTTCTCGAAGCGTGTTGAGCGGGATAACTACCTCTACGAGAAGTGCAAGTCGTCGAAAGGTAGTATGACTTGGACCATCGTCGCAAACGGGCCATTCCTGGACTGGAACCTTCGAACGGGTTTCGCTGGCATCGACCTTTCCAAGAAACGAGCGGAACTCATGGACGGGGGCGACAATCGAGTTGTCTGGACGACTCTAGACTCGGTTGGGAAAGCCGTTGCGGGGATCATGGCGCACCCCGAAGAGACGCAGAACAGGCCGGTCTATGTGCAGTCTGTCGTCAAGAGTTGTCATGAGATAGTCAAGCATGCCCAGTCGGTGCTTGGGGCAGACGGATGGCAGGTTATCAACGTGAACGCGGAGGAGGCCAACAACAAGGCTTTGGCTGACCTGTTCAGCGGCAAGTTTGACATGGCGACTTTTGGGACGTTGATCAGATACTCCAATGCCAAGCCGGAGACGTTTTCTCCATGGGAAAAGACCGACAATGGGCTACTTGGGGTGCCATCCATGACGGATGACGAATTGGAGGGCTTGATTAAAAAGATCTCGGCATCTGCAGCCTAGACCCTGCAGCGGTAATATCCAAGCGGGTCACTTAGATGTATTCGCGATGATGCACTGAGGCGGCATGGATAAGGTAGACTTTTCAGGGGCCAGTAACGTGTAAAACGAATTCGAAGATTGATTGATATCGCCTCCAAGCCGGTGACCAAGGATTGCAACGTCTGACGCCTAGTCTTGACCTCTCTAGTTCTAGATGAACCTATGGTCTGCATGTGAAGACGGAAACCCCAGGCGTGGTGAGAGGAGTAGTCGGCGAAACGTCTCGGGGATAACCAATTCCTATGCTTGCACAAAAAAAAATTATCCCATAAGAGGTTATGCCAGAGGAGTGGGAGGATGGGGCTGGCCGGTGACGAACACTGACACACATCCGTCAGTGAGACCAAAGCCTACGCAGGAGTCTAGATCTATAGAATCAGCACGGATGTGGTGATTATGAGTCATTCTGTATCGCCTGCGAGACATAGACTGTAGCATATGCACTTCATTCACATAGCAATACCGACTATCCCTCAATCCGACTTAAAAGGGCATACGCACCGACTTCCGATTCTGCGCACATTGCAGTAGATGCAAGCCCATTGAATGACACCACTCTTGGCAGACCGCACCTCATCGTCAAGTACTTTTTCGCCCCCTGGCACCCGCTGCACCATGTTGAAGCCAATCACATTCTACGATATCGCCTCGGGGCCGCCCATACGCCCATACGCACCGAATCCTTGCAAGACAAGGTGGGTAACCGGCCCCCCTGGCAGCTGTTGATAATTAGTTTCCTCACGCTTTGAGCCAGGTATGCACTTAATTTCAAGCGTGTCCATTCCGGCTTGGATTACGAGACTTGCTGGACCGAACTTACCGAGGTTACCAAAGTCCGCATGGGCCTCGGCGCTCTCCCATGTCGAAAACATTACTTGGACAATACCGACTTTTACACCCTACCAGTAGTAGTCGACCATACCACCGGCCAAGTGGTAGGTGACTCGTTTGAAATCGCTCTCTACCTTGACGCCGCATACCCCAGCTCGCCGCAGCTTTTTCCCGACTCTGCAGCTGCCTTACACCGAGACTTTAATGCCCATGTGGACAATGTCTTCGCCAAATATGTAGTGCTAGGTTATCACAACATGCCATTCAACCCGAAGACTGCTGCAAGGGCTAGAGCCGAGTTCTGCAGGCGGGCGGCGAGGAAAGACTGGGACGAGTTCGCAGTCCGCGGCCACGAGAGGGCAGAGATGCTCAAACAATTCGAAAAGGCGCTTGGAGAGCTGGCAGAGTGGTATGTCGAGAAGGGCAGTGGATCTCTCCTTTCAGGGGCCACGACGCCGACGTATGCGGATTTTATCGTAGGAGGCTGGCTGTGGATGATCAAAGAGACGCTGCCGGAGTGGAGCATGGTTCGCACGTGGCAGGATGGGCTGTGGGGAAGGCTTCATGACACTCTAAGCCAAACGTATGGGCAGGTGGATTAGAGAAGCAATATGTGTGACGAACCAAGCCGTTCTAATAATATAGCATGCGCAACATGCAGACTCGGCCGAACTTACGTCTTGGCTGAATAGGGTACCCCTGACATAGAAGAGGCCAATCCCAATCATTTTATCTTAGCAGGAGAAGGCATCCCGCATGATATGTGCCGAGTTTGCGGAGCCGGGATGACGATAAACAGGCGAGTTAGTGATGGATCGAACGCAGTTGATGGGTTCCGAGATTGGGGGATCGTAGTTGACGACAAGGAACGGTCCGGTACGAGCCAGGACACAAGCAGCCCAACATCAAACACGGGCATCCACTTGCCAGGGTCTATGGTGTTGTGACCAACGACAAGGGGCTACCCCTGCCCTTCACCGTGCGCCCCTATCGTGGGCCATTCACTGCAGTGGACCTCGCTGTCACTTGGAAACTGCTGATCTCCGAACGAAAATCAACATCAGCTCACACACGCACACAAACACACGTACACACGTACACATATTTAACCACGGCGACATCGCGTGCATCCTTCCTCAGCAAGCTGATCAGGATGCCCAACACCATCGTTGACTTCACAAAGGTCTTCAGCAACCTGTCATACGACCGGCTCGTAGACATCAAAGACCAATGGTTTCCCCCACAGCCGACATTCACCGAGTCCGATGTGCCCCGTCAAGATGGTCGCGTATTCATCGTCACTGGAGGAAACTCTGGCATCGGACTTGCGCTCGTTAAACTCCTGTACCCAACCGGCGCAAAGATCTATCTGGCATGCCGTTCCGAGGAGCGTGCGAGAGCCGCCATCAAGGAGGTCGTTGACCAAGGAGCGACCACGTCACAACCTGGCTCACTAGAGTACATGCACCTCGACCTTGACGACCTGGCGACCATCAAAGCGTCCGCAGCCTCTTTTGCTCAACGCGAATCCCGACTTGACATCTTGTGGAATAATGCAGGCATCGCAGGCGCACCGGCTGGCACTAAAACGAAGCAGGGCCTGGAGGGGCATATTGGTAATCCACCACACTAACCCTGTTGCCCGCCGTCTCTTGCTCTTCTCCATGCCGCCTAACATTTTCTATCCTTCCAAGCCGCTCTCACCTCTCCTCTCAACCCTGTCTTGTACTGACACGTCCACAGGTATCAACTGCGTAGGTCCGCTACTCTTCACACAAGAGCTGCTACCACAGCTCCGCGAAGCCACAAAGTCATCAGCGCCCGGGGCGACCAGGGTAATCTGGGCGTCGTCCATGATTATCGAGCGCTTTGCGCCACACGGGGGCCTCGATCTGGCGGAGCTAGACCGCATGAATGCCGCAGGGACAGGGTCAGAGAACGCTTCCGTAGACTACGCAGTGAGCAAGGCCGGGAACTGGTTTCTTGCTGTTGAAGGCGCACGGAGATGGGGGCCTGAGGGCATCGTGAGTGTTACACAGAACCCCGGCATGATCAATACCACAGTTTGGAAACATCAGCCCAACTGGCTGCTGGCTGTGATGCAGCCAAGCTTCTACCCTGCAGTCATGGGTGCATACACCATGTTGTTCTCTGGGTTCTCCAATGAGGTCGGGCTTGACACAAATGGCGTGTACGTACTGCCTTTTGGGAGGTTGCAGAAGAAGAATGTCAGAGATGATATTCTTGAGGCCATTGAGAATGGCAAGGCCAAAGAATTCTGGGACTGGTGTGAGCGCCTGCACTCACAGCATCGCTGAGTTGATTCTGAGCAGTCGGGACAAGTCACCACATATACAAGGTACCGGAGTCCCGGACTAAAAATTGAGAATTGATAAAAAGTTCATTGCCTATCGAAGTCATCTAACCGTAATTAGCAAAAGTTGGGGGTCTGTGTCCTGGATAACCCCAGCAGCGTTGCCCGTTGTGTCCTGATCAGATACGGGATTTGTGTCATCGTAAGCAAAGGCATACCCAGTGTGATTCATCAGTCTCTCGTGTATAATCCGGCTATAATGGTTCGTGATAGTCTCATTATAGTATTCATCAGCAGTGATCTTGTTGTTGGGCTGGATATGGCCCTCTTCAAGTAGCAATGTGCTTCGATCAAAGGCCGCACAGAGACGAGGCACAATCATCGACTGGTTCCTTCCGGTCACTGTGAACGGGCTCCTATCCTGAGAGCTCTGATCCTGAGAGCCCTGTACGCAGCCCATGATCTCAGACGTGGTCGGCTTCCTGAACGAATAAGTCTCACTGAGCATATCCTCGCCGCCGCACCAAAGCAGATCATCCTCAGGCTTGACCTTGCAGATGAAGTTGCGGCCTAATTCAACCTTTCCGCCACTACCATTATCCTGCGTGTTGATCGTGAGATTTTGCTCAGTGTACTTCTCCCACACCTTGTCAACGTACTCGTTGTAGTACGTTGCCATCGGGTCATTGGGGTGCAGGGCGAGATATTGGTTCGGCGAGAGTGCTCGTAAATTGTGGCCGTCATCGTCCGTGAGACACATCTCCGCCCAACTCTGGTTGTCTCTTTGCGTTTGGTCCCTGAGCTCCGAACAAATCTTGTCCAGCGCGTCGGCCTCGAGTCCTGGGACTCTATACACATTTGCTTCTGACTCCACCGTGAGGTCCAGTGACATTGCCGCAAAATCGACGTACGAGGGGTTCAATATGAAGTCCCCTTCCCCATAGGTGAACTCGATAAACTGCCAGGTAGTGTTGTATTCAGGAAGAGCTTTGTTGGTCGACGACGGTTCAACGAAGCCATCGCTTGAGCTCCCAGCATTGGTGCCAAACCGGAGCTTGTCTTGAGCGACGTACAGGCGGGCGCTGTTGGCGTAGCTTGGGAGCCAAAATGAAATGCTTTCATTCACCCGTATCTCGCTGTGAAACCCGCTGCTGTCATCGGTTGTGTTGACGAAGTAGTAGGGAATCGTAGAGCTGTCCGTGTATGCGGGCTTCGTGAACCACGAGTAGCAATCATCCTGTCTCCGAAGAATGATGAAATTGCTATTGGCATCGGGGTCCTTTCCAGTGACGTAAAAGAACAAAGGTTTACCTTGGTTATTTTGAATGGTTATGGTCAAATTACTGTGTCCCCCGGAGCATGCTTCGGAGTTGATTCGTGGCCGAATGTTTGGGCTACGTGGGGGCCGGGTGGGCGAATGTTGATTAATATTGGTGGCCGCTGCGAGCGAGAGGCACAAACATATGACCTCCAGGGCCGACGTAGATGTAAAGGAAAATCGCATCTTCGAAAGAGCGTGATGAAAAAGGATTAAGTACCTGAAAGAGAAAAAGTTGTGAGTCGCTTTTCTTCCAATGACAGTGACGTTTCTTGAAGGGGTGGGAGACACGTAAATAATTCACAGTGTGGCAGATGGAGATCGACACAAGATATACCCAGATAACTTACAGGTGAGTTGTTGGTTGATGTTGGCGAGAGAGTCGAACGCCGCGTGATGCACAAAGGAAGCCACAAGAGGTTCATGTTGCGTTTCGGCTGGACAAAGGCAGGGAGAAATCTTATATGTTGGAACTCTGGGAGGTCATGACAATGATCATGGGCCATGTCACACTCCATTGAGTGATTGGACACTTGACTTCTTCGAGTGTAAAGCAGTAACGGTGACGCATCCGTTTTCAAGTGGAAGAGTCATGTGGGCGAGTACAAACATTTCAGATACTAATAATTACAGTGGTGACTGCCTAACGACGCTGAATTGGAAATGGCAGATGATTGACATACGACGGCCCCCAGTGAGTCAGATGACTGTTCACTTGAACACCACCGGCGCATGTCTGAAGTTTGGCTTGTCCCAACGCCATTACCACGGGGCAATGGCTCTCCCCGTCAGCCGATCAAGGAGCCAGCTCACAATAATCAAGACACGTTGCCTCCATTGTCGTGTCCACAGGAAGTTCTTGGATCGCCAGGCGATCCATGCCTCAGCGCCCGTATAATCGCTCTTTCCCGCGATGACACCGTCATTGTGCCCGAGGTACGCAACAATAGCTGCCTGTTGATATTGGAAACTGTGAACCTTGTCCTCCTCGAACTCCTTGTTCAAGGCAGATCCCAGCCACTTCGCCTTTTGGCATGCAACCTCAGCCGTGGTGGGCAGGCTGGCACCATCGACATCTGCTGCATCACCGAGGGCATATACGTCAGGGATGGCCTCTCCATTCGTGCCCTTTAGACGCAGGAAGTCATCCGTCAGCATGCGAGCAAGACCCTTCCCTGTCTTCTGGCATCTGAGCCCGTCGACCAGAGATGTCGAGCCGTTCCCCGTAGCCCATATGACTGTGTTGCAAGGGATTCTTCCGAGTTCTTTAGTGTAAATGGCACCCTCGTCAACTTTTTCTATGTGGCTCTCGGTGAGTACCTCAACATCACGCCTGTCAAAGCTGTTCATCGCATACTCCTGCAGATGTTGGTCGAAGCCGCTCAAGACATTGGGAGCAACATCGTGGATCGAGATTCGGACATGTTTTTTGACGTGAGGATATAACCGTGCAAAGTCATTGTGGAAGAGATCGGACAATTCACTGGAGATCTCCACGCCTGTCGGCCCTGCACCCACAATGACAAAGTGCAAGATGTTGCGAACTAAATGGCAGGAAGTGTTAAAAAGCTTTCCGTCGGGAAGAGGGGAAAGGACCCAACAATCGACCTACTCTCTTCGCCTGTGAGGCCGGGCATCGATGCCCTCTCGAAGCAATTTCGAATGTGGGCTTGGATGGCTTTGGCGTCTCGCACAGTACGAACGAACATGGCATGTTCCTTCACGCCCGGCGTACCAAAGGTGTTGTTTGTGCAGCCAGGTGCTAGGATCAGGTAATCATAGGGCAGAGAGAACTGACCCTCGTTCGGAAGGTCGTCAAAGGCGGATCTGCAACGGCAAACCTTCTTCTCGAAGTCGACGTCGTCAACAGTGGCCTTGATGTATCTGATTTCCCTCCTTTGATGGCGGATCGGTGCTTCGACAAGACTGCGGGAACGTCAGTTATGACCTGTGTCTTCGATCAGGGTACTTCTAGGATGGCGAAGAAACCGTGCATACCTGAAGTCATAGAGGCCACAAGCAGCGCTGGCCAAAAGAGGCGTGTAAGGCGTCGTTTCTTCGGGTGAGACTACAGTAATCTTGTACTTTCCTTCATCGAGAGCGGTAGAACTAATACGTGTTACTCATCTGCAACGGGTGCCAGGGTGATGCATTCTGGAACACTGTAAAAGATGACAGATGGGGAACTGTGAAAGCAGAAGAGTCGTGCTCACATCGTGGCCCCAGCCCAGCCTGACCCTACAATCACCACTCTCTTCCTGTTAGCTTGTTTGGCGACATACGGCATGGTAGCTATGACTCCGTTTGGGAGGGCAGGAGGGACAGCTAATGGGACATGGGGCTGCTTCACAAAGAGCCTTGTTAATGGTGATGCGAGGCATTTGGGTAGGCCTTGGAGATTTGGAGCGAGGGGCCATGACAGATATATACTGCGTGCACAGCTGAACATTTGACAGGGAGGCTGAGGGAAAAGGCGTCATCAGGAGCTTTAGCAGCAACTGTCCACGCTGCTAGCATGGACACACGAAACAGGGTGCTCAAGTTCAAGGCCTCGGTGCTGCCTCGGTATGCCTAGTGAACGCCCAGCCGTGGCTATAGTGAAGCTGGCTCGGCATGCGGACCTTCGGAGATCGGTCTATGATTTTATCAGCTGGGATTAGGACATCCCAGCTTCGCTTTCGAGAGATCTCGCATGCCGATCATGGCAAAACCGTAATAATCTGTATGGGACATTGAAAGATATCTCAACTCGAACTGTCTGCGTACTGTGAAAGCGCAATTGCATCCTTATGCCATCTATGACGTCCCCTTGTCTGATTTAGCGCGACCAATGACCTGAACATGGGCCCCTGGCTCTTGTCCAGTCCTACCGCTGGTTCCTGTTTTCCGGCAGATACCAAGCCTGCGGCGCATCAGTACCGGAGATAGATGTGAGCGTCTCTGATTGCATTGGCACCGTGTTTGTGCCCCGCAGCGCAGCCAAGAAAGTATAGTAATAAGCTTCCCTCCCCCTCAATTCTGTCTTTCGACTATGTGCAAAACAGATCCCTGTCGAACATGGAAACGAGCTCGACCTTGGTCAGTCACCGTGAAGGTGTCAAGACTAATGAGAGTGGGCGACGCGGATCAAGACCGTGCACCAAGGGGGGTACAAGAATGTTTATTTGCCTGTAGGCAATTTATGCCCGTCAATAAGCGGATTAGAAGTTCCTGACATGCTTAAGCCTCACCGCAGTTGAAAACATGGCGTTAAATACTATTTACTTCCAGGCAAACGTTCCGTCTCGTGCTCTAAGCCACCATGCATGGTAGGGCCGTAGCTATCCGGCACCCTGTTCGAAAATGTTGATGGTGTACGAGGTTTAGCCGTACACTGTTGTGTAGCTCACAAGCATCGTGGTAAAGTAGTCCCCCGAGTTCACGGTTCTGAAGCTTCAATCTGTATTAAATATATTTTCAGGAAAAGCAGACAACGTCGTTCTACACCCTGTCAATTTCCCCATCGTCGTCGTCATCGAAAACAGCAACCTCCCCGGAAGTCCCACCATGCTCGTGGTGGCCACCAAATGCACTTTCTACATGCACCTCCACTGCCTCTGGGCCACTCCCTACTACTTTGTCCTTTGGAACCCACCAAAGCTGAATTGCGCCCAGGATCGCGACCACAGCACACCCACCCCAAGCAGCGGCGCTCCCGCCGACATCATAGAAAACGCCCACTAGAGGTGAGCTGATTGTTCGAGCGATGCACACAGCACTCATAGCAAGGCCATTAACGCGACCGAGAACCAAGGGTGATGGGCACGCATTCTTGAGCAATATCAGGGCGCAAGGTGTGAGAATGATGCCGAATAAGTTCTGCAGAAATAACGTGACGTAGATCCCAGCTGATAGGGTTACAGAGTCAGGAGCCTCTTCGGTCTGCCCCACGGGCCTGAGTAGAGAGAGGAACGGCATCATAACATAGCACAGGGGATATAGAATCGTCGGAACCAAGAATGATAGCCAGACGCCTGTGCCTTCGACAAAAAAGGGGAAAATGACGCCTTGTATGAAAAGAGCGATGAAGCCGTTGACTGCGAGGAAGCCACCGACGTCGTGCAGGCTGTAGCCCATACCGCCCGAAAGATCCAGCTGAGGTGAGCGGGCGATGGTAGAATTATATGATGGCGAGTCGAGCAGATAGATGGGGAGGATGGCACCGAACGCCATTTGATGAAAGGCAGCAATGACAAGTGCGAGAATAAGCATGATGACAGCAAAGTTGAAGGCCTTCTCTTGGCCTTTCGCCGTCCCTGTTGCTTGTTGGATGCCTTGCTGCAAGTCCTGAAGTTCGGGCCGTACTTGTATTGAGTGCATAGTTCCGAAAGAGTTGTGTCGGAGGTCGAAGCGCTGATCTGCTGCTGTCGGCAGTCCTTCCTCTGCAATGAACGGTCTGGTGCCGTGGCGGATCTCTTCCATGATGGATCGCGGCTGGCTGGTCGTCCGGATCAGAGGGGTATTCTCGTCGTCTTGCTCGCTCTCTGTTGCATGCACCTGCTCCACCCTCTCCTTGATGAATTGAGGGTTTGTTTCATCTAGGAAGATGATGCCCTGGGTAACAGCAATGACAATGACCGCGACTGAGACCAGGTTAGGCAGGAGATACGGATATCGTCCAAAGAGGCCATCCTCAGGGAAGACATCGGGATAGAACTTTGCGGGTTGCGCCAGGAAGCCACCCATCGCACTCCCAATAATGCTGCCAAGAAACCACACAAACGGCTGGACGGCATATGCTCGTGGTTCATGCTCGGGCTTCTTGACCATCTCTGCCACCATAGTTTGCATCACAGATACGTTCCCGTTCAGGCTTCCCCCAACGAACCGTGCCAGTAGGGCGACCCAGTAAGTCTTGGCAAGGCCAAAAATGAGGCTGGAAATGGCGACTCCGCAGAGGCCAAATAGTACGACGGGCTTCCGTCCGTATCGATCTGACACTGCTCCCCATAGCATAGACGTCAGGGCCTCAGCGACCGCATAAGCAGAGACGAGGAGACCAGCATAGAACGAGGCGTTAACGTCGGTGCCGTTGAGATCCTGCACCATAATGTAGGTGTAAGCCAGGATTGAGTTGAATGCTATGGGCTCCGAGAAGCGGCAGATGGCAAGAATGGTAAGCTGGTAGGTGGGGAAGCCATCGTCGGCCTTGACATGCTGCTTCTTGCTTGTGTGCCCGTTGCGCCCAAGATCTGCAGGCTGTTCATCGTGAGGCATGATATGGCAGATCTGAGACAGCTCGCTTTGGGATGAGGAAAAGAGCCAGCTGGAAAGGAAAGGGGAGAGCTCTGTGGAGGAAGAGAGAGGAACAAAGTCTTCAAGATGATAAAGGCCTTCAAGATATGAGGTTCAAAGTGGAGTGCCCCAGTACATAAATCGGGATGTCGATCCCCGGTGCAGGGCAAGGATCGTACTCCGGCCGGCGGCGATGCGCACCTAGCGTCTCACGCACTGGCTGCGCACCTCCTCCCGGCCTGTTGGGATGCCAACACTGATCAAGCATTGGTGTAAAGCACAGAATGGCAGGCAATATGTGCATGCGCATGAATCTTTCCTCGCTTGGCGCGTTGGCCACATGGTGCAGGATATTGCGGTCAGAGCTTTGGAGGACGGGGACGCCGCGCGACTCGCGGGAATAAAGGAAGTGAGGTGCGAGTTGGTCCGAGAATTGAGGCGGCGCTCAACATGCGGGGCAGACTTGATTGGCTGAACTGGTGAGCAGCTAACATGGTGTCTCGTCACGCGTCCCGAAATTCCGGGGCTAATGGTAAATCTCTGGTAAATCTTGACTTGCTGGGTTGTTGGTGACTGAAACGGTTTCCTCCTCTATCCAGTCCTTTTCAGATTCGCTCATCGACACTCTACAGAGTAAAAATAGCAACGGTATCTGCTAAACCAATCAGAACAAATCAGCAGAGCAACAGTCCAATAATTAGTGTCTCTAATCCGGACACAACCATCTCGTCAGCACGTACCAGGCCATGCATCGAAAAGGAAGAATTACTCCAGCCCAGCTGAACCTGTCCATCACACTGTTTGCGATGTCTCCAGAGATCATCGCTGCCGTCTTTGATGCTTGCATCGAGGATCCTGATAATGCTAAGCGGCCTGGACTCCATGTCCTCAGAGGTTATAGTCGCATTCCCAAAACGGTAGACACGGTCCTCCCACAAAGCCATGGTGCCAGGCTACATACCTCCTCCCTCCTCTCCGAAATCAACTGCAATAAAACGCCATCATGTCGTACCACTGTACTACGCTCCCAATCAAGAAAGCCCAACTCCCAATGAATGACGCCACAGAGCCTCCCAAGGTATCTCCACTTAAAAATAGAACACCGGTGATGGCGAAGAGAATCGAGGCAATGACATTCCACAGCGATGCCTGCCAGGCAGCTGACCCGAAACGAGGCTTATACCACCGCTCCTGTGCAAATAGCAGCAGCATGATGTTGGATATAGTGAACATTCCTCCCCCGATAAGCAAAGGCGTGAATACGAAGGTCGACAGGCCGACAAGATCGTCAGGAGCAAGCACGCCTGGGAACCCGAAGATGACACTGGTGGTCAATACGGAGCCGGCAACGAGCTGCATCGCCCCCGACTGGAAGGGCGTCGTCTTCAACGCATCCTTGAGGATGCCCCAGCTTGGTAGCCATACCCAGGATGGACTGCTCAGTAGTGCCGGCTGGTATGACTTCGTCTGCTCCTCGTCTCCCCCAAACTTGGAGGACGAGGACGAGGAAGACGACACAGGCTCTATGGTGCCGTTGGCAGTATTCCAGATGGCGGGCATGGTGAGGAACCCAGCCGTTACGAATAGGGCGGCTCCGATCGCGTTCGTGACAGGCGCTGCCAGGGTCGCCTCTGTCGGAAATGCTGTCAAAGGGGCCACTAATGGCAGTAGACCAAAGAAGCCGTTGATGGCGAAGGATATGCTGCCGACGATGAAGAGAATTGCGATGATCCAGTTTGCGTCCCGGTAAGGGTAGACTGTGACCATGACCTTCAGCTGTTCTCGAAAGCCAGGGGATCCATATTGGCCCTGCTCGAGTTCCTTGTTCCACTCAATGTCGTAAACGCCTGATGAGCTTTTCGAGACCCTGGCAAGGTCGCACCTGGCCCTATACTCGGCGTGGTCAATCGCAACGAACGTGCGTCTTCGCTGAACTGTAACTGCAGCTGACTGCCGACGGGTAGAGGGGCCAGGCAAGCCGCTAAGATCGTAATAGGATGCTCGATGGGAGTTGGCTGCATTCATAGCTGGCTAGTCACGGTGAGTCAGTACATAAGTACCACAGCACGAGAAAGTTGAAGTTCGTACCTAAAGAAGGAGCTGCCTTGAAAGAAAGCAAGTACAGTTTTCAATTAAACAATAGGACGAGAGGTGGTGAAAGAGAGAGAGTGTTTTCTAGGCCAGCTAGATGAAGATAGAGCCGCAGGAAACGAATGCCTCGTTCATGAGCAAACCGTAGAAGATTTATTTGATCCTCGTTAATAGGAATAGGACCTTGTAGGTAACCTTATGTCAGGTTCCAGTGATCTTTGCATTGCAAGTGATGTACAAAGGTTGTTTCCGACCGAGTGTATCTGATTTGCGGCGAGGTTGACACCACTGGCATTAGCGACGCTGCCAGTGGTAATGCCTCTCATCATTGGCGATCATCTTGCCGTTGTTGAAGTTGCGAATTTGGAAATTGTGTGCTTGGCAAAGACGAGAAACGAGTACTGTTTGACGTCTTGGGATATCCAGAAGCGATGCATTGATTCAGTGTGACGTTCCATGGGAACCGGCCGGTCACATATATGTCGCTGGGGTCAACAGGAGTTCAAGATTAACGAAAAGAGTCAAAAAAGTGCGAACATCAATCAGGAGCACCGACATCTCCCGGCCGATCACTCAAGTTTGTCTGGGTCGGTCCACGAACCTTGTTTCACCCGCCAAAAGTAGCAGCTCCACAGGTAGCCCGCATTTCTCTAGCCCCTATCCTGGCTGGTGCGTCTCCACGTTTTGGAAATGCGTTCTAACTGCCTATTCGGATAAATGCCCTGTCCAGCCCGCCAGAGAAATCCTGCTTATTGGATGCCTTAGACGCTGCGACCAGGGAGTGAACCGCGTGTTGTTGGGGCAATTTGCACAATGGATCGAGTTGCCATTGTCAAGATGCAATGACCTACTTACCGCTTCTTAGGTGGTCGAGCCAATCTCCTACTTCACAATGAAAATTTCCAACATGTTCTCGTCCGTCTGAATGTACCGTCTGGTTGTGTTATACGGCGATCTATTCTAATTTGTGACGAAGTTTGGCCGCGTCTTAATCTCATTATCACAGACCACAAACAAGTTACCTAGGCATTAATTATCCTTGTTCATCTTCATTGGTCTCCCGCTTCACCATGGCCGACGTCGAGCAATCGGCCGACTCGAGTCGCCTTACTCAGGGTGACCGACTCTCCGGAAGATTGGTGGACTCCAACGAGGACGATATCGAAAAGCTTGGGAGAAAGCGGCCCGAAGTCTTCAAGAATGTCTTCACGGAGATCGGCTTCTGCCTATCTATTCTCGCATCCAACCTTGTCTCTGTAAGCCACCCCGGCCTATAGTTAGGCGTGCGACGTTGCTTCACATTGTCGGAGGATGGGCCAATGGCGTTCGCTAACTGTAGTGTTACCTTGCCATCTCCCAGGAATTCCTCATCAGCGGAATGAACGTCCTTCTTCCGAGTCTCGTGCGCGAATTACACATACCATCCGAGAGTCAGACATGGCCGGCCAGCATATTCACTCTCGTGGCTGGCGCCTTCCTGCTGCCCTTTGGCCGGCTGTGCGACATGTATGGTGCCAGTGTTGTCTTCCTGACGAGTATCGCTTGGCTGTCCATTTGGACCCTGGTCGGAGGATTCAGCCAAAACCTAGCCATGCTTCTCGTCACCAGGGCTTTTCAAGGGCTGGGATCCGCCGCGAACCTCCCGGCCGGCCTGGCGCTCCTGAGCAGCATGTACCGTCCAGGTCCTCGTAAGAACTTTGTCTTCAGCCTGTACGGGGGCTGTGCGCCGTTCGGCTTCTTCGCAGGAATCCTTGTTGCTGGCCTGAGCGGCCAGGTCATCCACTGGGGATGGTTCTTCTGGATTGTCAGCATGGCGTTGGCTGTCACAGGCTCCGTATCAATCTTTTGCATACCTCGCGATATGCATGCTCGTCAAGGGTCGATGGACTGGTGGGGCTGCGCCAGCAGTATGCCAGGTATCTTCCTGCTAGTCTACGCCATCACGGAGAGCTCACATGTAAGAGGCGGCTGGGGCTCGCCACAGATCATCGTGACATTCGTCCTTGGCGTTCTGTTCTTGGTCGGCTTTGTCTATGTCGAGAACAAGCGAGCTACACATCCACTCCTGCCTGCAAGCATCTTTTCCCCAAAGCACACGGTTGTCCTGTTTTTATATTTGTTCCTCGTTTATGGTTGCTTCGGTATCTATCTCTTCTATGCCAGCTTCTAGTAAGTCAACACACTTGTACGTGGAAGAAGATCTACTGACTCATGGAACCAGCATCGAGATAGTGCTTAACGTGCCTTCCTTCCTCGCTGCCCTTTGGTTTGCCCCTTTGGCCGCTGGAGGGATCATTATCGCTCTGGTAGGGGGTATGACGCTCCACCGTCTGTCTGGGACGCTATTGTTACTCCTGTCAGCCAGTGGTTTCCTGGTCTGCGTGCTCCTATTTGCCGTCATGCCAGAGAACCCGAGCTACTGGCCGTGGGTGTTCCCAGCCATGGTGTGCGCCACGCTCGGAATCGACATTTCGTACAATGTCAGCAGCATATTCATTACCACAAATGTTGCCAAGCACGAGCAGGGTCTCGCCGGTGCATGTGTTAATGGTCTCGTATTCCTAGGCATTGCTTTTTTCCTCGGGTGGGCGGACTTAGCAGTGGCCAAGACTGCCTATCTAGGGACCAGAGGCAGCTATAAGACAGCATTCTTTCTTGGGACCGGATGCGCCGGTGTGGCTATCGTACTGGTTGCATTGGGTATCAGGGTGGACAAGGCTAAAAGTGGCTTGACTGTAGATGAGAAGGCCGACCTGCATGATGAGCCCGTTGCCGTCGATTCTGCCTTGGAGCCTGATCGTCGGGTGGTGGGACGAAAATGAGACCGTCGACAAGCTTTCAGAGTCGCGATTTAGCAAAGTGGACCTATCGTCTGACGAGAACGAATAGATAAGGACCGAGATGAATTCAGAATAATGGAGCGTTCATATCAGCATTAGCTTCTCGTCCATGTCATACACATCGTCGAGCCACGACCTCCTGTCATTTGCGGGCAGTGGGCGCGCCCAAATTCGGTGCAGAACTGACAAGCCCCTTTTGATATTCCACATATGGATCATACCGTAGAGCTGCTCCAATGCATTCGCAACCCACAGTCGTTGCTCCGGAAGACGTGCTTCAGCCCCAAGAATGAAGGCGGGCCAGAGGATACCCTTGAAATGAGAGTCGCTCGGTGAAAGTTGTTGGAGATGGTGCAGAGTGAGATCGACAATGTCTCCCACCAATGGTCTGTTATAGCAGGTGGCGCTGAGGACTTGCGCTGCGTAGATCGCGATGGCCCCCTTGTAGGCAGAGGCCGTGTGAAGTCGCTGCTCATGGAGGTCTCTACCGGGGAAAAGGAGTGCCCAGTCTGAACAAGAGAACTTCTCGAGTCGGTTTAGAGTCAATTCCGCTTCCTCCTGGCGGAGCTCTTGAGATTGAGATTGCAGCCCATTTAAAGCATGCAGAATCCCTACGAGCTCAGCGGGGCATCCGGTCCAACTCCAGCTCTGGGCCCGCTCCAAGACAGCGCCCAAATCGAACTGTGGGAGCTCTTGAGCAGGATCTATCTTGGTTCTGCTCAGCGTTGAGCCGAATATGGATATCCTAGCACCATCTCAGTGGAATGTCTTGACAAAGGCAACGAACGATCGAACATTGGGCGGAGAAGGGCGAGTGAGGCGGGATTGAACATACATGGCATACGCCTCGCGGAAGAATCCGTGGAATACAGAGCCTCCGGTCGATGCTGATGCATCCTTGGTTCGCCGAAGACACATGAGGTCTTTCATGCCAGCGAGATGGTGATGCCACGAGGGATGTTCTGTGTCTAACATATCGAGCCACGTGAAAAGAAATGACGACGCCACAACTGCATCGGAGCAATCTTCGCTAGATAGCGCGGTTCGGAGGCTATGTGTCGCTTTATACGCGTGCCCCATAACAGTGGCAAGATCGATAGAGCTCAGTTCCGGCTTCGCTGTAACCAGAGAGCTGTCATAGCTTTGTGTCGCTGGGACGGAAGTAACACCTGCACGAGCCTGATGATAGACAGAAATCGCAACGACAATGTCCCGCATCGCGTTATTATGCGGTATTAGCAGTAGCATTTGCTTAAACGGGTTGCCAAAGTCATCACCGTAGATAGTGCACTCGCTGCAGCACTCTCGTAAGTCTTAACAGATGGATCAGTTTCTTGACCGCAACAGTCCGTTCATCGCCGAGATGCACTCACAATATTCGACGTTCCTTCTGGTGCCAAGACTCAAATCCTGGAAGACAGGATCTGTGGGGTTTGCAGAAACAGTTGCGTCGGTGTGGGGAATGTGATCGCCGACATCAATGCTCCGAGGGGGCATTGTCGATGTTGGGAGCACGCATGACCCATTGATCCTGCGGCCGTTGGCCTTCTTGCGGCACGGAACTCCGGTCCAGACGACGGGTTTATTCGAGCTATACCCTAAGCACTCGCGATGGTTGCTCCTACATTTGAAACAGGTCGGGAGACTAAGATCGCATTTGACACGTCGCCGCATACAGGTCCAGCATGGTTTGGACGCAGACGAGATCGAAGCAAATTCACCAGAAGACAACATGGCCGCTTGTGCCAGAGTTTGATATTGTACTTGACTACACCTTGGAGGTGTTGTGTCCAGGGGAGCAAATGGTGGTAATTATGGAAAGGTTGAAGGTGGGACACATGGACCCTTGTTTCATCCCTGTTTCACATAGACTATTCAGCCCTACACTTATTTGCATTTCACACCGCCAAAACCACGCTAATAACACTGCCGTATTAACACACGCTTTATATATATATATATATATAACTAACTTTATTATTTTAATATTAATTTATTAAAATAATATATTAAATAATATAAAATAGTTTTAAAAATTTATTTTTTTATATTAAAAGTTATAATTTAAATAATTAACTTAATTTAATAATTTAAAAAAAATATTTAAATAATATATATTTTTATTATAAATAAAGTATTTTTAATAAAATTATTAAAAATATTATTTTTTATTTTTTATTTTTTAATAAATATTAAATATTATTTATAATTATATTTTTAACATATATTATAATATAATTAAATTATTTAAAAAAGTTTATAAAAAAAGTTTAAATATATAATTTTTTTTATTTTATATTAAATTAAGTTAAATTAAATTAAATAAATATTTATAAAAATATAATAAATATATATAATATTAAATTTAAGTAATGTTATTAGCAACTTAATTATATATATGTTAAAGATGGTAGTGGATAGCCTTAAGATTTAAACAATGAAATTCATACTACCTTAGTAACACCATGCTTGTCATCTTAATCTGCTTTCAGTTCCTACCTACATAATGCCTATGCTGCCACCTTTTCAGATTCATCCTCAGCCAGGCGCATGTCTAGCTGCCTCCTTTCCTCCTCGCTCATGGCTGACAGATCGACGGCCACGTCATCCCCAAATTTCTTCCCGATTTCCTCTAGTGTAAGCCCCTTTGTCTCTGGGAATAGGAAGTACATCATAGCTGCTCCAAGAAGAGGCAGCACGATAAATATGATGTAGTATTTCCAGCCGATAGTGGTGAAGGCGACAGGTGCGCACATGGTATAAATGAGCGACATGCAAAATAGCGCAGATATGCTGAAACCGGCGCCTTGGGTGCGAATTGAAGTAGGAAAGAGCTCGCTGGCATATACGTAAGAAGTGGCGTCCATAGAGCCAGCGAAGAAAGTCACAACTATTTTATTAAACCGTTAATATCACCGCAGACTTGAAGATATCAAAACACACATTAACTTACACAGATATAAGAAGAACACGCCAAATCCGTTTCCGATTTTATTATCCGTGCTCCCATACCTCGCTAAACATGCTGTAAAACCAGCGACTGAAATCGCACCGCCGATCTATGCGTTGTCATTGGTTAATTTCGGAGATGGAAGCAGTAGAGGAATGTCACGGAATGCATACCTGCCCTATTACCATCGTAGCAACACGTCCAAACTTGTCAAGCCACAACGAGTTCATGTAATTCATGAATGCAGCCCAGCTATCCCAGACAGCATACAAAAGGAGAGGCAGGGAGCCAAAAAGACCCAGGCCATTATACAAGAGAACCTGGTAGTTATTGATTACCAGGCACCCAGTTGATTGCACGAGAGCACTATGAATATACGATTAGCGTAATCTACACCGTTAACAGCGTCCCAATATAACTTACAGGGTGAGGAAACCAAATAGGAGGCGTTTCCGGCATGACTTCCTTTGGAACAGCAAGACCCATCCTTTCAGCCAACCTTGTCTCCATCCCTCTCGTCGCTCAAGCTGAAGTTGCTGGCGGATCTGATAAAATTCTTGTCGTGCCAGAATATCATCTTGTTCACCAGGCACGCGGTGCAGATCACGCAGGACTTGTAGACCTTCTTCGTATCGATCTTTGGCCATGAGATACCGCGGAGACTCTGGGAGCCATAGCGACCCGATGAGCAAGCAAAGAGGTGGAACGACCTGCAGTGCGAGACACAAACGCCATTGTGCGTCCGGCGACGAGAGATAGAAAGACCCAAACCCCGTCCATCCAGCCAGGGCCTGGGGGGATTTAGCAGCTGCATGCACACAGGAGGACTGTTGGCAGGCGACCTGCTGAGACAGAAAGAAGTCACTCACATATCCAACGCAGAGTATGAAGCCATGTGTTCCCACCATGCGCCCTCTTAAGTGGGCCGGGGAGATTTCGCTCTGGTAGAGCGGTGTGATGACATTGACCATGCCAACGCCTACGCCCATGAGGAATCTGCCGACGAGAAACATTGCTATGTGTACCGACGCAGCCTGGATGACTCCCGCGATGACACACAACACAGATGTTACCTGTATTGCTAACTTGCGTCCAAAGGCATCGCCCAACCAAGTCATTAGGATGCAGCCCAGGAGGCCACCCGCTGCAAAAACGCCATTCGTGGCACCCGTGATGCGCGAGCTTTCGGCGGCGTTGGAACCATAGAGGTCAATTCCAAAGTACTTAAAGAACGAGTCAAGCCCAAGCACGGCTCCAATGATCGCCGAGTTGTAGCCATATGTCAGTGAGCCAAACGTAACCAAGAAAACCATGAGGAAGTTATATCGGTTGGCTGTGGACTTTGTGGTAGACATTGTGGAGTGTGGCCTAAGCTGCAAGGCGAGGATGGCGGGAAAATAAACGTGGGCTCACATTAGGCTGTGCCTCATCCTTATAACAACAGTGCTTTGACTTTGCCGGATAGCCCTGAGTCGGGAACTGGATCGCTAGTTGGTTTAGTTAATGTAACCTCGCACTTCAAATCTGACCACAACCTAGACATTTGTGTTACATCTCCGCCCCGCAGGCTGGTACGTCAGCACTAACATTGAGTGCAATTGGGAAGCCAGCCGGCAGATACCACACCTTACCGGAACGCGATGTTAAGCTGCATAGAAAGATAAATAAGACGTAAACATAACCATGTTATAAGCTTGGTTTAAACTTAATTTATAATAATTAAACTTATAAAATTAAAGTATATGTTAATTTAATTAAGCTTTTTCCCTTAAAAAACTTTATATTTTTTATTAAATATATTAAAAATAAATATATATTTAAATATATTAATATAAAATAATAAAATTAAATATTATAATTTTATTTTATTAATTTTTAAATTTATTATAATAATAATAATAATAATAATAATAATTTATTTACGTTATTTTAAGCTATTGTTAGCTAAAAACCATTTAATATATAATTTCTTTATTAATTTACTCATAAGGAAAAACTATGCTAAATAATTAAAAAAAACCCTTATATTATAATATTTCCGCAATAACATAACTACCTATTTACGCTATATTAAATAATATAAACATTATACTTATATTTAAAAATCCTTAAAAAGGGAAATTTTTCTTTTTACCTTATAACCCTCTTGTAAAATTCTTAACTTATTTATCCATTATTTCTTAAATAAAAAGGTAATGAAAAATCATTTATATAAGTAGTAAAATCCAAGCTAAGAAGCATAAATAATTGCAATCCTTTACCCATTTCTTCTTTTTCTTCCTTTAATAATATATTATTCCCTAAGTAAGTCCTTAACTATTAATAATCTTATAAAGGATTTAAGTGCTTTGCAATAATATTATAACCCCTTTATAGCCTTTTTTAATATTTTTTAACTTTATATTTTTATTATTATCTTTATAATTCCTTTATAATCTTTATTATATTAAATAATATTAAAGATATAATTAAGGCCTTAAATTAATATTTCCACCTTTACTTTATAATCTTTAATAATCTTGCTAAGTTTCTTAATAAAATTAATAATAATAATAATAATCTTTAAATAATTTTAATATCTTTTTAAAAGTATTATTGCATTAATATTGCAACCCTTAAGAAATTTAGCTTTAAAAGCATTATTTTAATTATTATAAAAAGCATTATTAATAATTTTATTATAACCTTTTCTAAGGTTTTTAAGATAATATTTATAAATATAATTAAGCTTAATTATATCTTAATTTACGCTTAAACCTTTAAGATATTAAAGCAAGTTTTTAATAAGTTTGCTATAATTACCAACTATTTTTTAGCTATTATTATTACTTAAAGTTGCATTTTGAATAATATTTATTTTTATTATATTTACGTTAAGCGCTATGTTAATTACGATTACTTTATTGCAACCCCTTGCACTTAAGCCATGAGTATATCTTTATAATTTCATTGCATTCCTTTTATAATCCCGTTATTAATTATTTAAGTAAGAGGAAAAGCAAAGGGCTGCTATTAATATTGCAAGGGAAATTATTAAGGAAATTACATTATTATAAGATCCTTTTAATATCTTTTCGCAACTTATTGCTTTAAAATTATTATAATAATTAATAAAAGTAATTAAAAATATTAATATTTAATTATTAAAAATAAAATTCTTAAATTAATTAAAAATTAATTATTAAAATTATTTTTATTAATTAAAAATTAAAGTTAAAAAATTAAAAATTAAATAATATACTTTTTTAATTTAATTTAATATAAAGAAATTTATTAAATTTAAATATAATTAAAATTAATAAATTAAAATTTTTTATTAATATTATAAATAATAATATATAATTATTTTTAATTAATATTATAATTTATTTATTTAATTATAATAATAAAAAGAATTTTAATTTATTAAATAACTTAAATTATTTAAAAAATATATTAATTTTTTTAAAAAAATTATTAATTTAAATATAATTAATTTATTATTAATTAATATATATTAATTTAATTAATGTTTAATTAATAATTAATTATAAATAATTATTAATAATAAAAATTATTATAATTAAATTATAATATTTATATTAAATAATTAATATTAATATTATAAAAATAAATAATAATTAATAATAAAACTTTATTTAATTAATATTAATAATTATATTATAATTAAAATTAATAAAAAAATTAATAATATTTTAATTTTTTTTATTATAAATATTAATTTATTAATTAATAAGTTTTTAATAATACTTTATATTTATTAATTATATAATGCATTTTTATTATATAATTAATATTAAAAATATTTATAATTACTTTTCTTTAATATAAATAATAAGTTATATTTATTTAAATTAATAAATATTTTATTATTATATAATTAATATTTTTTTTTTATATTTTAAAATAATTTTAATATATTTTCTTAATTATTCTTTTTATATATAAATTATTTAAATTTAATAATAATATTAAGGTAATATATTTAAATATTAATAATATTTTTATATAATAACTTTAATTATTTTTTAATTTTATTAAAAATTTTAAAATTAATAAATTAATTTTAATTATTAAAATAAATTAATAATAAAAATAAATAATGTAATTAATTAAATAAATAATATAGTTTATTAAATAATAGTTAATATTAAATAATAATTAATTTTTTTAATTTTAATTAACTTTTATTAACTTTAATATTTATTTAATATAAAAGAATTAATTAAACTTAGCATTAATTAATATTAATTGCTTTTAATTATTTATTTTTAATTAATTTTATTAATTTAAAAGAATTAACATACTTATAATATAATTAAGAGTTATTAAAATTTATATAAAATAGCTTTTTTTTAATATTAATTACGTTTTAATTTTTTATATTAATTTCGCTTTAATTTACCTATTTAAACCTTTAATGCATTATAAATTAATATTATATTATATATTTTTTATTAAAAAAAATAAAATCTTTTTAATTATTTAAGTAATTAATAAGTTTAAAAAACCTTATTAAAAACCCTTAAATATTTCTTAAATAATATAAATCTTTTATATTTTAAAATAAACTTTATATTATAAAATAAAGCAATAATTAACTTATAAGAAATTATATATTAATAAGTATAAACTTAATTAAATTAAAGAGTAAATGCTTATTTAATATATTATTAAGTAAGATATTTAAAGGTTTTCTTTATAACTTTTTAAGGTAAAAAATATAATTAATTTTTTGCTAATATTATATAATATTAAACTTATTAATAAGCATTAAGCTTAACGCTTTATAAACTTATAATTTAACCTTAAAATTAAGTTTAATTATCTTTATAATTATTAAAGGGCTTTTTATAAAAATTTAAAGATTATTAAGAATTAATTTAAGTTATTTTATAATATAATAATTAAATATTAAATCCTTAATAATAATTTTTATAATTTTAATAAAATTAACTTTATAATAAATATAATTACCTTAATAATAATTATTATATATATTAATAAATATAAAAAAGTTAAATTAATTTAACTTAAGAATTAAAAATAAATAATCATTATTAAATATATTAATATAAATAAATTATAAATTTTATTATTTATAATTATTTAAAGTATTTATTACCTTATTAATTAAGTAATAAAGTTAAATTCTTTTAAATAATTAAGTTATTAAGCTTATTTTTAATAAATAAATAAATAATAAAATTAATTTAAAATAAATTTAATATTTTAATAAATATATTAAGTTAAAGAAAAATATTAATTATTAAATATTAATTATAAATAATTATAAAAGTTATATATTAATTAAATTTAATTTATATTATAAGAATAATAAAATTATTATTATTAATATATTATTATATTTATTTTATTTATTTTAATTATTTAATATTATATTATATTTATCTTTAAAATATATATATAATAATAAAATTAACCTTTTTATTTAAGCCTTTATTAATTATATTATTAAGTTTAAGTTTTTTTTTATATTTAAAATAGCTTATAATAAAACTTTTATAAAGAATAATATTAAGTTTATATTTAAAAAAGCTAGAATTTTTCTTTAAAACCTTAATTTTATAATTTTTAAGCTTAATATTTACTTATAAATATTAATATAATTTCTTTTTATTTTTATTTAAAAATAAAAGTTTTAAACTTTATTAAATGCTTAATAAATATTTAATAATTAAGTTTTATTAAGGGTAAAATTTTTATTTATTAAAAAAGCTTTTTTATATTAATTATAAATATTATTAATTAAATAATAAAAAGTATATAAATAATAATATATAAGCTTATTATTTTAAAAAATTAAATTTATATTTTTAAAAAGGTTAATATAATATTTATAAAATATTAAAAAGTTAAAAAAACTTAAATATAGCTTAAAGAAATATTTATTATTAAGAAATTTTAAGCTTTTATTTATAAAAAATAAAAGAAAAAATAATTAATTAATAAAATAAATAATAATATTAAGGAGTTAATTTATAATAAATTAATTAAAAAATAATATAATAATTATAATAAAATTAAATATAATATAAAAATTTATAAAAAAAATAAAAAAAAGTTTAATTAATTAAATTTTAATTATATTATAATAAATTTAACTTAATTAATATTAATTAATATAAATATATTTATTTTTATAATTTATAATAAATTATATTTTTAATTATAAAATTAATTAAAAATAAATAATTAAAAATAATTAATATTAATTAATATTAAATTTAATTAATTATTATTTAATATTAATTATTATTTAATAAATTATATTATTATAAATTTTATAAAAAATTAAAATTATAATAATATTTATATATTATAATAAATATTT